CTTGAGTATTCATTTATGCATTGACTCTTATTTGTTAAACAAATTGATAATCCTTAATGTGTACCCTCTTCCTCACACTACTGATATCTTTGATTGTCTAAGGAGAAGTTTTTGGTTCACCAAGTTATATCTTGCTTTTAGATACTGACAAGTGCCCATAGCTAAGGACGATATTCCCAAAATTGTTTTTCATACATTATTTGGTTTGTATGTGTTCTTGGTGATATCGTTTGGTTTGAACAATGTTTCAGTAACTTTTTAGTGGATGATGGATAAGATTTTTTGCAATATGTCGGAAGTCACTATTGACTTCATTGATGATATTTTAATCCACTTGGAAGGGATGAGGGAGGAACATATTTGTGATATTTGTAAAGTGTTGGATTGGCTATGGGAAATTGATTTAAAGCTAAAACAATCGAAATGCATATTTAGGTCGGGTACTATATTTCTCGTAAGGGTTTCCAAGTTGATCCTGATAAATTTGTGGCTATTTCAAAATTCTCTATACAGAAGTGTGTGAATGATATGCAATGCTTCCTAGGGAAAGTGTAGTATTTCGATCGTTTTATTGATCATCTTTTTGATTGCACTACACTATTGCGAGTATTGTTGAAGTTGTCAACATTGTCTTTCATCTGGTCTGTGGACTATGAGTGAACATTTATGGATTTCAAAAGAGCTATTAATGATTCCTCCAGTTTTGGCATATCCTGACTACACTCAACTTTTCATTTTACATATGGATGTTTTTTATATCAATCTTGGAGGTATGTTAATGTAGAAGAGCCTGAGTATGCTTGTTCAACGCTATCCCATTACATATATCCGTTATATATTACAACCAGTGGAAGTGAACTACTCCACGACAGAGAAGGAGTGTTTAGTTGCAGCTTGAGGTTTCAAGAAACTCTATGCATATTTACATGGTATTTGAATATTATTAAATGGTGATCATATTGCAGTTACTTTATTATTGAAGTGGAAAGATTTAGTTAGTCGTACGGCTCGGTAAGCTTTGAAGCTTCAGATATATGATTTTGATGTTGTTCATCGCTCAAAAAGTTCTATAGCTAATATTAATACCCTTTCTCGAGCTTCTCTTCCTTCTTCGCTCTCTTCTTATGTTTTTGATAAGCCTATAGTTCCAGTATCTGTGGATTTTTTAAGTGAACTTGGTCAACTCTGGTCAACAAGATGGTCTATAGGGTAGTCAACATGATGACCAACTCACCAATGCTTTATATTTGGGGAAGAAATAGTTGTTCTATCGTGGCTCGAAGAGTGAAGATAGCATCAAGGCTAAGAAGCTTCATTTGGACCAATGGGAGAAAGATAAGGTGGAGGGCAATTGTTTTTATTGCCATAAGGCTAGATATTAGGGCAAGGATTTTTCTAAAGAGGTCAATAAATTCTAAAGTGAATGTGATGAGATCCATCATGAATACAACTTAAGCATTTGCTATGGTGGTTCTTTCATATCTAGCTTCTTGTGGTTAAGATAGATGCAAATGACATTGCTATTGGAGCTGTCTTGCTTCAAGTTGGGCATTCTCTTATATGAGCCAAGGAATGGCAACATTATTTGTATGGATCAGACTTTCAAGCGGATTCAGATCATCAGTCCCTCTAGTATTTTAGTTGAAAAAAGGATCTTTGAGGTTGCCTTGCTCGTTGGCAAGAGTTTCTACAGAAAATGTCTATTAAGATTTTATACAAGCATGGAGGTGACAATAAGGTGGTTGATGCATTATCCAAGATAGTAAATTCTATCTCATTCATAAAGTTATCCAGTGATCTCTTGGATGAGCTTAAGAAGTTTTCTAACTTCGATTCTTTTATCACTGATATTTACGCAAAGGTTTTGTCAAGAGACGCCTCTACAGATTTAAAGGGTGACAAGTTTGTGTCATTTAAGATACAAAATAGAATCCTAGTGAAGAAGGGACATGTAGTGATTTTTTGTATTGATAAACTCATCAAATGGATTTTGGTTGAGTGTTATGATGTGTTAAATGTTGGGTATTTGAGGGTACTAAGAACATATATATTGGTGAAGAAGCATTTCTTTTGGCTTGGGATGAAGTTAGATATTGAGAAGTATGTACATGGTTGTTTGTGTGAGACACAAATTCCTAAGCCTCAAAGTGGAGCAAAAAAGGTGCCACATGGTAATGGTTGAAGTAGAAGTCTAACAAACATAACATGTTTAGATCAAAGGCTTTGACTTGGATCAAAAGTGGGAGTGGAACTTTGAACAAAGTGCTCAAGGGATGAGCACGAAGCAATTGGTGAATGAATCTCTAAAAAGGGACACAAGAAGGATTGATACATTGCAAAGTGTCATGACATATGGAAGTGTTAGGAAGGAGTTTAAAATGGAGTTTGAGAAGGAATATGAGATAGAGTCCAAGATGGAGTCTAATATAGACCTAAGATAAACTTGAGATGAAGTCTAAGATGGAGTTTGATATAGATCTGAAATGGACCCGAGATAGAGTCCGAGATGGACCTGAGATGGAGTCCAAGATGGACCAAAAATAGATTTCGAGATGGACCTAAGATAGAGTTCAAGATGGACCTAAGATGGAGTCCAAGGTCAAGTCCGAGATGGATCTGAGATGGAGTCCGAAGTCGAGGCCGAGAAAAAGACCAAGACCAAAACCAAGACCAAGACTGAGATCGAGACTGAGACCAAGATTAGTTCGAGTCTCAATCCCAATCTAAATCTAAGGGTGAAAGCCCAAAGTGATTATATCCCAGACCCTAGGGGGTTTAGTGAGCTCCAAAAGTATAGTAAGGGGGAGTGTGACCAAGGAAGGCTATAACCATGTGGTGGGTGATGTTATAACCATTAAAGGCTAGAGTAAACATATATGGAAAAATGGGGTAACTTGGTAAAGTATTCAAGAGTCAGCTCTAGCTCCCTTAAGAGATCAAATGATTGATGCTCCCAATCCAAATGTGGTGGTGGCACTACCTACTTGGATACTTAAGGTGGCTTATTGGAACCTTGCTCTAGCCTCATGGCTAGGGCACCCAAAGGCGGAAAGTGGGGAGAGTACCCATGAGGCTTACGTAGGGCAACGGTGTTTAAAAATGTTATTCCAAAGTTCTAAATAGCGGAAAGGAAAAGGAGCAATCTTCTTATGTAGTGACTAAGGATGTGGTCATGTGGCAAGGAAGCCCCAGAGATCAGTAGGATTTAGTGGTCAATCCCTTAAGTTGGCAGTGTTGGTGAGCATGGCTATGAATAGAGAGAGACCTGATAGGGACTGAAGAAAGGACATTAAGGAAGGGTGTTTCCCATATCTCTGGTGCTAAGGTGTAGTCAAGGGATGACCACTCATGGATAGAGGGCTAGTCTTTGAGAGATGGGACTATGATGTAGGTGGTTTTAGACCACTAGTGTGACAAATGTGAATGGGCATGACTTTAGTGTAACGTATTGATATGTTAATGGTACCTTTAGGTGTCTATTATGGGATCAAACACATGAAGCACTTGGATTAAGTGCAAAGGTTGAATGGTATAGATGCCATTCTAAGGGCTAGCATGTCTTTAAGTCGGGAATAAGACTTATGGAGGTCATGAGTGAGACTCTTCTAAGTGGTTAAAAGTTTCGTTAAATGATTAAAGTAAAATGAAAATTTTAGTTGCTTAAAGTTTGACCTACTAAAGGGTCAAAGTTGATCATTAGAAGTTCGCTAGTCTCTATCATCCTCTATATGTACCCGAAAATAAGTGAAATAGCATTTAGATAAACTTTATCACTAATTTGCTTAAGACCTTTCGAGGAAATTATGCTATTTGGGTTGTTTTGGATCTTTTGATAAAAATGGCTCACTTTTTCCTAGTGAAGATGACTTTTAAGGCTTTTAAACTTGCTCAATTATTTGTAGACTAATTATTTAATCTTTATGGTTTTCTAGGTGACATTATGAGTGATTGGGATCCCAAGTTCATACCCAAATTTTAGCAAACAGTTTTTGAGAAGCTAAAGACTAAGTTGAGCATGAGTAGTGGTGAGTATCCACAATCAAATAGGTAGATAAAGCATATGAATCAGCTGGTGGAAGATATGTTAAGGTTTTTTATATGACACACAGGGAGTATAGAAGAACTACTTGCCTTTGCTTCAATTTGCTCTCAATAATGCTCATTTATCAGTTGTTTTATTTATGATGAGGTTATGAGTTTAGATCTCTTGTGAATTTGAGTTTGGTTTTAGTTTAAATACCTCATGCTTATGATTTCCTAGAGGATATGCAAGACAAGCTTAAGTTGGCAAAGCTAAACATGAGGCAAACTTCAAGACAAAAGATTGGTTAATGAACATTGCCATCATCAAAAGTATAAAGTTGGTGACAAGGTTTTCCTTAAGCTATCATATGTACAACAGTCTCTAAAAGGAGGTGGCAGTGGTAAGTTGTCTCCACAGTATTGTGGGTCTTTTGGGAAACCGTAAAAGAGTCATGTGGCTCTTGCAAAAATCACATTCAACAAATCTTTTAATAAGCCTTCAAATTACCTTGTAAGAATCCTTTATTGTCTTTCAAAACTTTCATGATTCTACCGTTTGGATTAATGTAGGACCTTGATATCATGGGAAGAAGGTTTATCACTCATTCAGGGAGGAGTTTTAATGGTATGAGAGTTTTGCAAGACATCATGTTTGATTTTTCCATTGCTTCTTATAGGTGAGCCACAACAATCTGGAAGCGTGGACGAGCTCTGGGTTGTGACAGAAGGAAAACTATCACCATTTCACAGCTCACTACAAAGGACCTTACGTGTAGTGTGAACATAGTGATTGGGGTTTCTAGATCTTATGCCAAGCGCCTTGCTAGAGCACAGGATAAATATTTCTGGATCGTGACCATGTTGTTTCAGCACCCATCCTCTTCTGCAAGCTCTTCATCCTCGAATGGCCCAAAATTCAACTTAGATAATGGGATAGAAAAATCAAAGCATGGTTCTACCCTAATTCAAACAGTGCCATGGGCAATGTTACTACACTCTCGGCTGCGACAAATCCAGAGGTGCGTGAGATCGATGACATTTGGGCGAGGTGGGGAAATCCAGGCAAGATTGATAGGATTTTAAAGTGCAATGGTGGAGATCTTGATGAGGATTTCGCATTGCTCCCTCGCACGGGTATGAAAAAACTTGCACATTTCTCTTTGATTTTCTTTGTGTTCTAGCTCTGTGGCACGGTACGCACATCAATAATCTGAAGGCAATAGTGGAAAATGGTCTCGAGATCCCGACAAATTCGAACGCTTTTGACACGTACGGGTGAGTTTGAACTGGTTTTTCTTACTCGTAGTTTGTCTCTAGTGTTGTGTTTTCTTTGCATCATAGGTACGCTGTCTACTTGACCGATTACATTGGGAAGGCATTGTCCTATGCTACAGCAGGAGCAAAGGGGTTGCGCGTTGTTCTTCTCTGCGAGGTGGCCTTGGGGAGCATTTTTGAGACACAAGCTGAAACAATGCCTTCGCTGCGAGCGGCCCCTTCTGGCAAAGATTCACTCGTGTTTGGCAAGAAGAGGGGGATTACTTTCTTGCCAGTGGCACATCTGCAAGTTCCAGTGGAGTTCACACGAGGCCAGGAGAGAATTTTCGCCGTCTATGACCCCCGGAGGGTGAAAGTGAGGTATGCGATTATATTTTCTTGATCATAAAAGATGGAGATGTCCGCGGAGAAGAAATCCTTCGAGGAATGGAGAACGAGCTCCTTCCTCGCCTCCTCGCCCCAGTGAGTGTGCGACATCCTGGGAGAGAAGTTCGAAATTTTCCTGGATCCTCAACCTAGCTTCTTAAAAACAATCTCGCTCGGGATGATGGACCAAGTCTCTGGGAATCGCTGGCGAGGCTGCTTGCGAGAATGAAAACTATTGTATCTGCCCAGAGATTTACAACCTGGGCCTGGCAGCTAGGAGGGAAATGACCAGCTTTGAGGTTGCTACGCTTGTGAGCAGTAGTAATCCAACCTTACTGAAACGCTCCATGTATCTTTTTATATCCAATGCAATCACTGGTCTTGAAATGCTTGAAACGATCCCACAAAACCCCTGAAAAAAAAAAAAATTTATTTTACATCTAAGAATATGTGACAGAATGCCTTCGAGGGATTGGAATGTAAGTGAATGTTAATGCTCTTTAATTTAACTTAAAATTTTTTTTATCGCTTCATTTAAATTTAAAAGAGTGAAAACAAACATTAAATATTACTAATTATGGGTCTTTTGTAGATCACTTTATTTATGAAAACTATGGCAGATCGAAACAAGTTACTAAGAGCTATACAATCTTGTAGGGATCTCACAATTGCACAAGAACTTCACTGCAAGATTAAAATCTTAGACACCTTCTTAGCCAACAAACTGATTGAGATGTACACGAGCTGTGGAAGCCCAAAGAACGCTCGCAAAATTTTTCAAAGCATCCGCAGAAAAGACTACTACTCCTGGGATTTGATATTGGAAGCGTATGTACAAGACGGGCATATGGAGGAGGCCCAAAAAATCTTCACTGCTATGCCCCACAGGAATCTTGTCTCGGGAACAACAATGCTCAAATTTCATGGCGAACTCGGCTTGATCAAAGAGGCCGTAAAAATTTTCGACTCTATGCCCGAGAGGGACTTAGTTTTATGGACGGCAATGCTTTCTACTTATGCCACCAGTGGGCATTTTGTAGATGCCGAGCGCATTTTTGACGAGATGCCTGAGAGGAGTTTTGTCGTATGGAATGCCAAGCTCACGGCATATTCTCAAAGCGGGAACCTGGAATACGCCAAGCGCGCGTTTGACGAGATGCCTGAGCACAATGTGGTCTCCTGGACTGCCATGCTGGCAGCATACTCTGAGATAGGGAATCTTGGCGAGGCCATCAGAATCTTTAATGAGATTCGTCAGCGAGATATTGTGTGCTGGAACGCAATGCTTGCCGCATATGCCCGTGCTGGGTATCTAGAGGAATCTTGGGCATTATACTGTGCCATGCCGTACAGAAGCCTTAGCTCCTGTAATACGATGGTTTTCACATTTGTACAGAGTAGAAACATCAAGGGTGCCTGGGCAGTATTGGAGGATATGCCACAGACGGATCTTATAACGTGGACAGCTCTCCTTACAGCATATTCCCAGGACGGGAATGTGGAGGAGGCCAAGCTTGTGTTTGATCAAATACCGCGCCACAATCTCTTCTCTTGGAACACATTGCTTTCTGTATATACTGCTAACGGGAGACTTGATTCCGCTAAAAGCATCTTTGAAATTATGCCAATGAAGGACCTAGTTTCTTGGAATGCCATACTTGCGGCATATGCCCAATGCGAGCATCTGGAGCTAGCAAAATTTACGTTTGATGGGATGCCCGAGAGAGATTCCGTCAGTTGGGACTGTATGCTAGTAGCGTTTTTCAATAACGAGCGGCTCGCGGAGTCCAAGGCCGTGTTTGGGAGTATGCCACGGCGTACTGTGGCGTCGTGGACGGTACTGTCCGCAGCATATTCCCAAAGCGGGCAAGTAGAGATGGCGCGAAAGCTCTTCGGCTGTATGCCGCAGCGGGATACCGCGGCGTGGGGCGGCATCCTGGCGGCATATGCGAGCAATGGCCTGCCCGGCCAAGCCCTGGACCTCTTCTTTGAAATGCAGCTAGAGGAGGCGCCGAATGCCGCGTGCTTCGAGGCGGCGCTTGCGGCGTGCGTCCATCTCGGCCAGATGGACGCTGCGCGGTCGATCTTCGTGTCGATGCGAGAGAGCTACGGCGTCCACCCCTCGAAGCGCGATCACTGCTGCATTGCCGATCTGCTGTGCCGCGCGGGATCGCTGGACGACGCCATGGATCTCATCGCTGCTATGCCCTTTGCCCCAGATGATTTGGAGTGGAGCTGTGTGCTTCGATCTTGCAGGAATGGGGCGGATCTCGCGATCGCGAGGGCCGGGGCGAAATATTTCGACCCGCGCGCCGCCAGTGGCTATGTGCTTGTCGCCAATGCCATGGCAGTGGAGTGGAAGCGCTAGCGAGGACTCGAACTCGCGTTATCGTCCAAGACGGTTTCTCTATATCCCGCCTCTTTGCATTCCAAAGCTCCCACTAGGGATTTCTAGGGTTTGCGAGGTTTCCATTCCCATGGCGGCTACGGCGGCGATGGCGCTGGGGTTTGAGGACGGCATCCACAACGTTCACGATCCTCGTCTTCGCCCAGCGCTTCTCCAGGCCGTGATGCAGACGCATTTGCCGGAAGATCATCACCTCCACAGGTCGCAACAGGACCGGCATTTGATTGGTAGCGGGTCTCGATTGGCGCAGCTGGAATTCGCCGCGACTCTCATCCGGCGCCATGCATTGCTGTCCGAGCCCATGGCTGCTGCGGCAGTGGCGCCGGGATTGCATCCTTTCCATGGTGGCGCGGCTGCCAAAGCCGCTGCTGATGCTAGGAAATGCGCGGTGGATGCGTGGGTCGAGCGCTTGCATGGTCTTCTCTCCAGTCCGGTGGTACGCTTGTGTTGTTTCATAAGCTCCTTGTCTTATCTTTTTCCCTTAGGCTGATTCACGCTATGCGGGAGTGGGACTGCTGGGAATTACCTTTCAGGAATTTACAAGACAACGTTTTCTAGAGTCTTATGTATCATGGTTTCAGAAACTCCTTGTCCAGCTCAAGGTTTGTGAAAACATAATTGTTACACTTTTGAAACTTCTTCTCTGGCAGCCCACAGAACCAACTTTCATCCGCGCAGCAGTCTGTGCTGCGCTTAATGATTTTCTTACGAGGTACTAGAGCTCTCTATCTTGTTCTAAGCTGATTGATTGTTTTTCAGATTGGGAAGCTTTCTTGACTACCCGGGAGTGCGGCGCGAAGGCGCCGCTCTGGCTTCTAAGCTGGTCCAGACCCTTGTGCAGCTGCTTACTGACAAGGATTCCTGCGCAATATGGGTATGTAGAGTCATTGTCGATCGGTCAGTAAATCATTCACTGCCGCTCTTGCAGAATGAGGCTATCGATTTGTTAGCCACCGTTCTTAAGTATTTTCCGGCTTGTCTCCGACAACAATATAGTAATGTAAGTTCTTTGTGAAACTCCGTTTTTAGGCGTTTTATAATTCAAAGCTTTCAGGTTGAAAGCATTCTTGTCGCTCAAATCATGGATGCTGACGGTAATACCGCACTTTCTGAGGTATTTATTATCTATGTTTTCGAAGCGCTGGCGGCTAATTCTTTTCAAATGTTAAGGAACCAGAGGTGTGCTCGATGTTTGGCTTTACTTCCCAGAGCTCATGGCGAAGCGTCAGCATGGAGCGCAATGGTTCGTCGCATCCTCATCGCGGTAAACTCCGAGCTCGATAGAGCCTTTCGTGGTATGGAGGAGGGTAAGGACGTCATTTTTTAAGCTGCCTGGTTTTCCTAAGTCTTCTTTGTAGTGAACGCTGCCGAAGAGGCCACTATGTCATTACAGCCCAGGGAAGGAGGGTGGCATTTTGCTGGCGCAAACATGTCCACTCAAGGAAACAAAAGGTTTTGGCAACAGTTGGTTCCACGAATATCGTCACTCTTGCAAAGCTGCCATTATCTGCTTGTCAATCCATACCCAGTCCCGGTAAGTACGAGGCAGGTTTGTTTGGACCTCTCTTATGGTTCCCTTTGATGAAGGTGCCGGTGCCTATACTTCCTTTACTTGCATTGTCCACAAGGATCCTCAGGGTTGATGGATCTCGCTTGCCAGCAGCATCACCTCTGTGTGTGTCCGTATCAAGTGCTCATCAAACGGCTCTTTGCTCCGAACTTCCAGCATTACATCTCTGCGCATTGAATCTTCTACATTCAACCATATGCGGGGCTAGGAGGTACAGTGGACGTACTCCCATGATCTTGTGTCTTACGTTTGCTAGATTGGTCCTTGCAGTCAGCTTCTTCCACGAGCGGCCCACATTGTCCACTTATTAACTGATGCTTTCCGAAGGTGCGGAGCTGTACCACCTGTTTTGAGAGTTAAGCTTTACAGCATATCCAAGCATTTGTTGATATCCCTCGGTGCAGGTATTTTCGATGGTATACTGTGCATGAGTCATAGTTGTTTACTTTTTTTATCCAGGAATGGCGGAAGCACTTGCTCCTGTAGTTGTGGGTAATGCTCTATCCGACTTAAGGGGAAGCGCCTCTGGTTCTTTTGTTTTTTCTCCGAGGGGCACTCGTCCCGGAAGCACTATGTCCACCGTTGCTGCCTGGGGACCTGGGGTAAACCAGAAGAAAAGGAAGGAACCGGGTGGCGTTCCTGTAGACCATCAAGGAAATGGTGTGCCAGATGCAAGCTGTTTCAACGAAATAGTGATCCCTGTCTCCGTACAAATCTCTGCATTGCAAGCTTTGGAAGCTTTGCTCACTGCTGTAAGCTGTTATATGCTGTTCTTTATATTATTCTAATCCTTCAATGTTACAGGGTGGTGCAATGCTTCCGGAACGTGTGCGAGCTGAAGTGGATAGTTTACTTGCAAGCATAGCAATCTTAGCTTCCTCGAAAAGCGCATCTGGTGGCGGCTTTGATGACGAGAGCACGTCACTAGAAGGAAATCTGTCGGCGGCATCGGCTTCTTTCCAGGTCGCCGCATACAAGGCACTGCTGGCATCTCTATTGTCACCTTGCGCTCATCGGCCTCCCTACCTTGCGCAAGGATTATCAATCTTCCGCAAAGGTATAATCTCTTCTCACGTACATTTTTAGTTTGGTTATTTATGAGAACTTCATTCAGGTCGAAAAGACGCTGGGAGCGAAGTAGCTGAAGTTTGTGCCCACGCTCTACTCGCTTTAGAAGCACTCATCCATCCTCGATGCTTGCCACCTCTGGACACTCCCGCGGCGGTGGCCTCGGGCATGGCTGCTTCTGCGGTGGCGGGGGCGAGAGGAAGTGCTTCTGGAAACCCGTCTACTAATCCGTCAAGCACTCAGAAGCTCGCAAAGACTGCCTCGAACGCTGCTGCAAATGTTGGAGCAGTTCCAGCTGGGACTCCGCCGACGGGTATAAGCTTTGCGGCACCCTCAGCTCCTCCAGCTCCTCCAGCATTAAAGGTCAATAATCAGCTGGCTGTGGACCCGTGGGCGGAAGTAGACACTTGGCTTGGTTATGGAGAAGATATTGGAGAAGACTGGAGGGGATTGCTCGCTGAAGATTTGAGCGGTGAGGGGCTGGTCTTTAAAGGTGACCAACAAAGTGGTGGTGGTTCGGAGCAGCCAGCTGCGACAGCAATGGCCGAGGCTGCGGGGGACGAAGTAATTCCAATGGATCCTTTGAGATACGTGGACATCGGTATGCCTGCTACTGCAACGTCCATGTCGATTCTTTCAACACCCGGTGGCGAATTCAGCTCGTCGCCGAAGAGAGATATACTGGACGTTGCGCGTGCTCAAGTGGCAACCAGCCTGCAAAACGACTTTCCAAGTTTTGCGCGGCTCATGGACTCTGAAGACCAGCAGCAAGACAGTGTCCCAGGTAAACAGGAGCCTTGCTCACTCTCGGAAAAGGCACCTGTTGTGGACCTCTCTAGTTTCGCTGCTTCCAAAATCACTCTAGGATCTGATTCGGAGACTGATGCGCTTCCAGACATTATCGACGGCGATCCAGACAGTGATTGAAGTGTCAGAAGCTACTTCCGAGGTAAACTTTTTTACTTTTGTAGTTTGCATCATCGGGTATGGAGGTCATACCATTAACTTACATTTTCTTTCAGAAGTACCGCGCAAGGCCATCTTTCAATTTCCTGACAACGCTCTTGTTCTCTGCAGCCGGCAACTCTCCGATAACTATCAATTGCTGGACGCGGTCCACAATGTCCGCAAGCTCTTTCTTCTTCTGCTCCTCGATCTCGGCTTTCAACTGTGGCAAGTCAGGTTTCTCTTTTTATGTGGAGTCGAGAGATAAAACAAAACTCGTGGTCGGTTTTTACCCGCTCGGCTTTTGTGAAGGAATCGGCGATGCTCTTCTCGGTGTGCTCGTGGGAGTGGGATTTGATCTTCTGGCACTCTTGCCGGGCTCTGGCCAGGAGTTTATCGACCCTCACCTGCATTCCACTTGAGATCAAGCATGGTGGAGAAGGCAATCCAATCAGTCAACCTCGGCAGAGTGGACGAGCATCTCAGCTCGCTGCTCCTCCTTTTTTCGATTCTCCAGCGCTTTGGACTCCTCCAGCATTCGCTGCCTCTCGGCTTTTCCCTGTAGAAAGAGTTCCAGAAGAGGAGGGGGATGAAGCTACACAGAAACTTGGAAGTATTTCTCGTTACTACCTGGAGCTTGAGAGCCCGTGCTTCGGCCTTGCGAGTGGCGGCTTCCAAGTAGGCCTGTGCTTCCGTCTCCACACGATTGCGGTGTGCCTCGGCGATGGCCTCGGCTCTTTGGTTGACGCCTTTGCCGATGGACGAAGCTGGGCTTCCGCACTCGCCTTCTTCTTTGCTGTACACTGCGGCTTTGCGTAGCTGCTGGGCCATTAGAGAGCCGGTTTATAACCAAACTCCCACCGTTATGACAGGTTATAACAGCGTGAATCTACATTGTTGGAAGTCGTGAGTTCGATTCCCGCAAGTTAAATTTAAGAGATGCACGGTCAGAACAAACAAAAAATCCTATTATGTGCAAACCTCCCCTGAAAAACTTATAAAGCCACATGTTATTATATTCATTTAAAAATTTCGAGTTAACTTTACTTTTATAACCTTAAGATTTTTATATATTAAATGAAATTCTATAATAATATTTAATTACAAAATTAAACTTAACTTTACCGATCTTGCTAAATATTTTTTGGCAAAAGATTTTTTTTTAAGTACTTATAACAATGAAGAATGTAATTATTATTATAAATTGGAATAATGAGAAAGATATATATATCAAACTTTGGCATACTATTGATAATAATAACAACGATTTCACAAGATATTAATTTTCAAACAGGTGATTTTGATGTTCTATCTGAAGAAGCAGTAAATATTATTTTCCATGTTATTCAAAATGCAATTAATTCTATACCAAATAGTGTACTTCCAAGAGATCAAAGCTTCCATGGACTTTTATTACTTGTAAATCCAGGTAGAAGTACTACTTCTATTGTATATGGTATTTATGCATTACAAACAGCTGCTCAACTTTGTGGTTCAAACAATGAAGGCAATGAAGGATCTATAATTAGAAACTCATTAAATCATATTTTAGCAAGATCATATAACGAGATGAGGAACTTTGCTGCTTCCTATATTTATATTAACACTCAACATTTTGTTATTTATTATTACATTAGAAACTATATTCCCCGTCATAATCAAATTTATGCAATAAAACTTTTTAATTGTAACGTATTTTCAAGTATCTTAATAAGCGGGTATGTTAATATGTTATATCAATATCTATTAACAACACATTTTTTAATTTCTTCAAACCAAAAAGCATATTTATATTTAAGTAGTGATTGTAATTTAGTACTATATACTAAAAATAAAAGTTTATGGTCTACACAAACAACAAATAAGGGTACAGAATGTATATTAAGGTTACAAGAAGATGGAAATTTAGTTTTATATTCTTATAACAAAGAAGTTATTTGGGCTTCTGGTACTTATTGTAAGTATAATAATTGTTATGAAAATGCACATTTAGTATTACAAAATAATTGTAATTTAGTATTGTATTTCTCATATCAAAAGGTATTCAGCACTAAACCCATAAAGAAAAATGTATGGAATTCACGTACATTTTGCTAAATTATTAGCTTAATAGCTTAAGGTTTTGTAAACTAAAAATAATATGCATAGTTAATAAGAATGGATTAAATCCTCTAAAACCAAAACCGCATAAAATATATTCTTCAGTAAATTTCTCTGAGTAAATAATTGAAGGCATTGAATAATGGATAACAAATCGTCTAAAAATAAATGTTTTATACCTACACAAGCCAATAATGGATAATCCACTGACTGATTTCCAACTTGAAAATAATGAGAAAGCATTCAATATGTTAATTTCATGACCACATACTATACTAATTGATACTGTTTATTATCTATGTTAAACTATCTAGTTTATACAATAGAACGATTGTTAAAGCTCATGGAAAAACTACATTGATCTCTTGATAATGTTCTTTGATCTTTCTTGGACAAATGATCACTATCCATCATCTGAAAAACTTGTCCAAGCTAAACTAGTACTTAAAATGCTTCTAAATGTTTTTAATGTTTATGGTATTTGGTATATGTAATTCAATGTTGTCCTATACCAACTCGCAGCTGCCGCTCTCCCCTCCGAGAGCGAGCAAGTGGTCCCGGTTCGTTTTGCGATCAGTTTAGCTTGTTTCCCCTAAACACTTTTAATACATATCCAGTTAATTCTTTCAATCCCATATACAGCTCTTAGGTACTTTGAAATATCCACTAGTCTGCGAGTTATTCTTGCCCGACAGTTTGTTTGGGGTCCAAACATGCATGGAGAAGAATAAGAGAAATTTAGAAATCTAGATCAGAGACGTTAATCCTCCTTAGATTTGGCTAAGTTACTGTTTATATGAAAATGCACATTCTCCCAGTAAGATGACCAACGAGACCTGCTTAAGAAGTGGCTAAGAAAACAAACATATCTCCAAATACCTGCAGTGTGGTGCCTACAATCATGCCTGTGGAGAATCAGGTCAGTAGGCCAGGAATTGTTAAACTCCACAGCAGAAGTAAGATCCAATCCAGGAAGCATGTTGCCAACAAGCTCAATTCTGCTGGAAGGAAGCCTTGGCAGCCTTCTTTGCTGCACAATTCCTTGCAAACAATACAAATCTTATACTATTTGGAAGAAAGAAATCCAAATCTACCTGAGACTTGCTGGCCACAAATCAAGGCCAGTGCCACGAGAGGGTCCTCTGGATTCTCTGGCTGGAAATCAAACACTGTGCACTGCTGCTTGGATTGGACAATGGTCATGTAGTGGCAAAGCTTTGTAGTTCCACTGGCTTCCACTGCGTTGATAAGCCAAGATGGAGGACCTGGAGGAACACGAAGAGGAACTGTAGCCACATAGACTTTTGCGCAAGAACAAGACGCTGGATTGTAGAGAGCCATTGCTCTCGTTTAGAAAAATCTATATACAATCACTAGTATACCACACAAATGGATTAGAAATACGATGACTGAGAGTGGAGTACCTGGAGATGAGCTAAAATCCTTGCCGCCATCGGCCTCGTCACGCTGTTACCTCGCGAGGTCAGCTCGATAAGTGGCATCTGAGCCGAGCTCCCAAACTCGTTCCGGTACCTGTCGATACGGAACACCTTCTCCAGCATCCACAGCGCCTTTTCTTTCGCCTCCGGCGTTCCAAACGTGATAACTCTCACCAGGCTGCGAATCCCGCGAGCATCCGCGATGACTTTCACTCCCTTCTGCCAGATCTCGTCGTGGAGCAGCGTCGCTAGCGCAGCGAGTGCGGCTTCCTGGACTTGGGCCTCGCTCGCCTCCAGGCACTGGATCAGCGGAGCCACTGCTTTGGCCTCGAGCATGCAAAACGAGCCTCTCTCGGAGCAGTGGCCTTGGTGGAGCTCGCACCCTGTTTCTCGAGGCCGGAAGAAGCACGAGAACAATCCGGCGCTGCTTCTCGCCACGGGCGTGGAAAGCCTTCGGGAACTCTCCGAGAACTGTGCCAGTCCTGTCGCAGCTCTCGCTCTTGCCAGTGGACTCCCCGCCGAAAGTACGTCGACCAGGCGTGACACGGCACCGTGATCAGCAGCCAGGCGTTGCAAGTCCTCCCGTGCTGGCCTTGTAAAGTGTAGTAGCACCGCCACCGAGTTCTCCACGACCGAGTCTTGGACGCTCTTTGGCATGGCTCTCGTACCCCGAACCACACCGTCCAGGAGATTTAGCGTTGGAGGAAGCGCTCCGGCTTGGAGCAGCCTCTCGATCACTTGGTTGTCGGTTGACGGGAGGTTGCCAAGGATCCCAACGGCGGCAGCTTTTTCTTCGTCCGAGCTCCATGTAGCCGATAGTACGTCGACTAACGTCTTGAAGCTAGTCGGGCCAAGGAACTCGGATATCTCACGTCCAGAGCCATCTCCCGACAGGCAGAAGAGCAGTTTGAGAGCGTAGACTCGGACGCCAGAATCGCTGTTTTCGCAAAATGGAAGCAGCAGCTGGATGGCGTCTGCCGCTCTTAGGATGTTTCTGGCCCCTGCGGCGTCTCTAGAAGTAGCAATTCCGTAGAGTGCACGTAGAAGATGTCCCTGGATCTCTGGCCCGGCGAGATTGAGTAGCGAAAGCAGTTGCACTAGTGTATCTTCGGATTCCAGCACCTCGTTGCTCTTGGATGTATTCGCAGGTGACGATGCCAGATTGGCAAAAGTTGCTGCAGCTTGTTCTTTGAGCGTGACCAAGGAAGACGTGACTGAGCACAAGAGCCTGAGCAGGGAGGGGACGACGCCCGCAGCAATCATTTCGTCCCTATTGTCCGGAAGCGTTGACAAGTTTTGAAGTGCACCAAGCGCTGCAGATTTGGCTTCCAAGTTACCCAGGGAGATCATTTTCACAAGAGGACCTATAGCTCCATCCTGTGCTAATGTCGCTTTGCCTTGATCCGTAAGGCCCATTCTCGCGATCGCACTTGCCATTAAAATCTTGTCCTTGTCCGAGCCTACAAATACCAGTAAAACAGATGAAATGCCTGTTCCAAAAGAGAAACATGCATACCTTCAGCAAGCCGGACAGCAAGAGGTCTAAAGTAGTTTGCCTCGGCCATTTGTACCACGTTCTGGCTGTTGTTCGAAAGAGCATCCAGCAAAGCCGTGGCATCCTGAACAGCGCTTTCGATCTCGTTCCTCAGCGTCGCAAGCAGAAGAATGCATCCCTGAGCTTTCCCAATCTGGTCGCAAATCCTGGGAACCTTCGATAGCTCCAACAGGAGCTTGACCGCTTCCTTTCGCTCTTCACCATCTCGCGACAGCGACCTCACCGTGAGGGGCAGTGCACCTGCGTCCATTATCCTTTCCTGCCTCAAAGTGTCGCAATTTAGAGCCTTGCCTGCACAACTGAATCAGACCATCAAGGAGCAAAAGGTGACAGAGCATACCTTGTTCTCGTTGCCAGCAGCAAGGCTAGAAAGCGCAGCCAGAGTTTTCATCCTTGTAGCTCTTTGTTTGGACTCGAGCAAGCTCACTATAACCGGGAGAAGTCCAGCTTCGGCAATCCAAGTGGGGTTCCGAGGCCTCTCTTCGCTAAGCCTGTGTAGTTCCCATAGTCCAGCTTGTACCTCAGTATCCTCCTGACTCTTGATCTTTCTTCCGCAAGCCTCGATATTGTACCGCGTGCTTCTGTCTCTGGACTCCTCGATCGCAGATCTCAAAGAGTGGTTCGGCTTCAACTCGAAGCTGTCGAGCTCGACCCCAGTCACGGGGCACACAGTGTTCCCATCCCGAAACCACTTCTCAATGGCGCTCCTCTCGAAAGTCTGGCCGGAAGCAATCTCCACCGGGTCCTCCATGAGAGCTCTCGTCAGCTGGCAGTAGAAAGGCATGTACTGCCAGTTACTCCCAGTCACTCTATGAAACTCCCCACTGCCACCATTCTTCACGTTGGCGGCGCTCAAGAGCCCAATGATCTGCTCAAGCTGATACGCCTCGGCTCGGTTCTTCCGGAGCTCGGCCTCTTCCTTCTCCTTCTTAAACTCCTCCAGCTCCTGAGCGAGAGCGAGTGTGTTCTGAGGCACTCCAACGGACCTGGCAATCTGGAGCAGCAGATCATTCGCGAAAGCACTGTCTGTTCGTTGGTCTCGGATCCCCAGCTCGATCTTCTCCACGAGCTCCTCGTCGGCGGCAGCAGCTCGAAACTGGGCGCTTTGCATGTCCACCAAGAGCTTGGAAGTCACCTCGCGGCTGTCCACCGAGATGTTCATGCTCGCCAGTGGAATGAGGCTCAAACACCTCCCAATCTCGTGCGTGATGTCCTGGACTTGCTTGACGAGCGTCCGGCAGTGTAGAAGAAGGTAGATCCGGCTCTTCGATCCACACAACTGGATCAACTCCTGTGCCTTCTTCATCTCCCTCTCCAGGCTCTCCAGCGAGACTCTCATCGGCGGCGTGTCCCTCACATTCTTATCGTGGAGCTCTCGCAACACGGGCAAGATCTTCTCCAGGTAGCTCCCAAGCTCGCTAAAGCTCTCCCTCTCGATCAACACATCCTTGGCAGCCATGGCCGTGTCCGTTACCTGGACTACCAATCGAGCCAGCACCTCGGAGATCGGTGCCAACACCGCATTCCCTATGCCGCCGCGCAGCATTCTGTCCAATCCCAGAATCTCTCGCGAAATCTCTAGAATCTAAGATCCAGAAGCATTCTTTCCTCAGATCCCAGCGAAGTCCTCCAGGAACTGGCGCTCGCTCGCTCGATCCTCACCTCGTTAATGCAATCGCCAAACGCTGCTCGTCAAGTCAAGACCGTGTCCTCTTAAGAACCCTAAAAACAGGAGTGTTATTATAGTCTTTGCCAGAGATCATGGAGCTCCTTTAACTCGTTTGGCAAAGCGTGGATGGAGGACCTCAAAGCAATGCGGTACATGGTTTTGATCGTCTCCACGTCCAGTGCTCGAGCGCTCGACGCTTTGTCCTCTTTGATCACAGCTCCCAGCAAGTTTTTCAGCAAAGTCTGGAGCTGGGCGATGAATTTTTCCAGAGTTTCGCCCGCTGGCCTCGATTCCACTGTCACTTCCAGCGCTCGCCGGCCTTCCAGCATGCACGCCATTCCTTGCTCCAGTATCAACAGCTGCGCAAAGAAACCTTCCATTAGAACACTAGAACTTCACGATCGAAGAAAAAGAACTTTGTTATGCAAAAAGCAAAGTGGTAGTACCTGGTTTGCGCCGGAAAATGGTAGCACCAAGAAGCAAAGGTCGCATTCCACCAGGAGGATGTCGAGGAACATCGTCGGATGCGAATGAGGCCGATAGTAGCCGAGAGCTTTTCGGAGATGGTGGTCCGCTAGCGAGGCGTGGAACTTGAGATTCGTGTCTTTGCTGTAGTCGGTCTTGAGCTTGGCGATCTGGAGGCAGTTCCGAAGGTGCGAGCCGATCTGGAAGTGCGTGAAGGCGGCCTCCTGCGCTCGAGGAATCGACTCGTAGAGCAGCAGAGCCTCGAGGATGTCCGACGTCGCAAACAGTGATTGCAGCTTGTAGCTCGTCAGCGAGTCGCCCGAGTTTAGAACCGCGGATGTCTGCTGATCCACCGTGAAGAGTCCCAGCCTCAGGTACGTGTTGGCGAGCTGCGTCACAACGTTTTCCTCGAGTTCCTTCGAGCCGGATAAGTTGGCGGCTTCTCTCTTCGCAGCTCGGTAGCACTTCAAGGCCTTCAAGTAAAACTCCCTGGCCTCGCGAGCGACTCGTTCGCGTTTCTCCGGACTCAAATCACCCACGGACATCCAGGCAACCAGCTTCTCGGCAGCCGATCTTAGTGCGTGGCCAAGGTTGCAGTTGACGAGAAGTACGTTTGTCGAATCTCCAACTGTTTCGAACGCTCGGATGGCGGTGAGATAGGCCATCTCGGCGAGAGCAAGATCCTCGCTAGCCAGTATCAGACGTGCGAGCTCGTTGCAGGCCCAGCCTTTCTTCCGAACGGCTGCGTCCAGATCTCTAGAGGCTCCAGGAACGTCTGTTAGAGCGTATATCGCAGCATCGTAGCAGTCCACTGCCGCCACGAAGTTGAGCTTCAAGTCCTTGGTGAGAACTCGTTGCAAGTGGAAGCAGACGTGATTCTTGCAAACTTGCTTGTAACTGTAGTCTGCTTGAGTCTTCAATTCTTCCTCCACTGTCCCATCTTTCGCCTCATAAACAGTTGCCACCGCTTTTCCTGACTTCTTGTGCTTTGTCCGCTGCCTCGAGGAATTTTTCTCGCTGTAATCACTGCTACTCGTTGCACTGCTCCCACTGCTTATTCTATCCATATGGCAGCTACAGTCACTAGCACTACAGACTCCACATCCCGGCTTTTGTCCGGACTTCTTCCTGAGGCGTTTAACTTCTCGCACTATCTCCTCAGCCATTTGTAGCTCCTCGCCACCTTTCATTCCCTTGCGTGGAAGGCTATTTTCACCGAGAACCATGAGGTTTTTGATGTAGACGTCGCCTATCAACCGCCACACCTGGCCCCAAAAGAGTCCTTTCTGGAGGTCATTCTGCTGAGTTCCCGATTTACGAGGTAGGAACTTCTTCTTTGAGCTGCTTGCCGGCAAACAGTACTGGCAGCCATACGGACTAGGCAGGTTTTCCAGCTTCAGCACTGACGCATAAACGGAACAGGCGAGCTGAGCAGCTTTCACTGTCCGAACCAGGTCTCCTTTCTCGCTGTAAGCCTCCCCCAGAGCAAGATAAGACTCTCCCAGCATCAAGATGAGCTCCCTGAGCTTCTGGTCCATCAAAACACCGAACTCGCTGCTTCCAATGTCGTAGAAGCTGATACAGTCTATATCCCCGCAAAGGCACAGAGGGAACTGCTTGATATCCGTCACCCTCAACTTTTCCTTGTCAATGTCTTGAAGCTGCCTCTGGGACCGTAGAGATAGTATGGCTTCAGAGACGTGATGAACAGCGGCCAGGCGCGGAGAGACAGGATCGACTTCGGCATCCATAACTTGTACAGGAGAGTCGTAAAGAGTCAGCTCTTTCTCCGAAACTTCTGTCTCGCCTGATGTCGTAGATAATTCCTCGATGCAAACGCTTTTCCCGTCAAGGTCCGGATCAACTATTTCTTCGTGATCGTAGGCTTCTAAAAGCAGAACAGGCTTCGCTGAAGAGTCATGCTCCTTGCAACAGTTTAGAATTAATCTGGCAACTTGCTCATGCGCGATTGCTCTGATTATCTAAACAAAACAAACTCAGACTTAGTGCCAGAGCTCAAAAAATTAACGAATAGCAACTTACCAGATGCTCTTCGTTGTCTAAGAACTCTAGACATTTCCGAAACAATTTAGCACATTTGCAAATGTCGCTTGACTCCTGAATAAACACAAACTTTCAATTAAGAAAAAGTCCCCTTACTTCAAAACATACCTGAGAACGTGATAAGCTGTAAGCAATGCGGTACAAAAGCATTGCCAGAGGCAACGTATAACAGTTACCATTAGCATTCCGCGAAGGTAGTGTGCTGTGGCTGTCAACTTTCTTGCAGCTCTTAGATATATCTGATAGATCATACAGCTGCAACACGTCCTCGCCATGATTCTTACACAGCTACAAAATTAGTGAAGTATTAGTACATGACACTCCGGATTGATAGCTTACCCAGTAGGTCCCAGGGTCATGCTTGCAATTTTCTTGAAGAAACCTCAGGACTGAAATGGCATTCTGTTGCACAATATGTGGCTGAAAAAAGACTGTCCCGTCTTCCGCAAGGCCCTTTAAGCAGAAAATGTCGTCGGTCTTTAGAAGCTCATATCCCTGAACGACGCCATTGTGATGGTAGCAAATAGCCAGCTCGGGAACACTGGCCATTACATTATCTAACCAGGCATCGAGCCACATCAGAGGCGTAACCTGCATAAAAGAGGCTGTCAGCAACGGCCTCGCACACAAACCATCTTCTTTTTACCTGTCGTTTAATCTCCATGAGGTGCAAACTTACAGCGACATGCTTCTCGTTGCTGAAAACCAGTAGATCGCTTCCTAGAAGCATTCGCAAGTTCTGAAACTGCCAGTAAAGGACCCGCAAAAAATCGTCGGATGTCTTCTTTTGCCTCACTCCATCTTCTTCAATGTACTCCGCATCATCATCCTCGTCATCATCATCCCCCAGCTCAACTTCAGCCTGCCTTCCACGCGAGAGCTTCCCGTCATGCTGGACCGGCAGTCTCATAGTAGCGCACAGGTTTCCCTCGCAGCCTTCTTCGTCTATAGTTTCCTGCCATGGGCTGAACAAGGACTCCGTCGAACTGTTCGTCTCTTTGGTTGATTCCGACGGCGGGGGCGATCTCGACTGCATGGAATGGTGGACAAATCTCGAGTATAGCAGCTTCTCACCCAGCTTGACAGCTTTTTTGTGACGAACAAGCGTTTCTCTGTCTTCATCCGGCCTGCATTCAAACGTAAGCACGCAAAGAAACTCGAATTAAAGCAAAGACAAAAGTTGACACACCCACTGTTCAGTATGAGAGTCCTCCCAATCCTATGAACCGCGACTGACACCCGAGCTTTCGAGTATGGAGTCTTGAAGATCTGCTTCAGTATGTCAACGGGAGCAATCACGTCGATCCCGTCCCCGTGGCCGGAGAGGGCACTCGCAGCTAAAGCATCGCATTTTTGAGTGACTGTTTTGCTGGTTGTTTCACATATGTCTGAAAGAGAAAAAACTAAAAACTAAAGAACAATCCAAACGATTAGCTCTTACTTCCGGATGATTCGTTAACAGCAGCGAGAGCTTTGCTGCTCAGAGGCGCATTGAGATCAGTCTCCGCTGGAAGTAGCTTGTAGTGAGGCGCAATCACCCTGGATGAATGCAAGACAAGCAATTTATTGAGCAATCGCAAGATCGTCACTCAAAATCACATCGATCGCAAGAATTCACCTCTTGTGATAGACGACTGCTGTAGAGGAAAATGCCTTGGGCGGGCTCGCCGTCGGCACGGGCAAGCTCCCGCATATGAAGCTCAGCCCCGCAGCCTGAGAATCATCGCCGCTGTGATTGAGCGTCCTCTGGACTTGCATCGATCCCACGCATTGCAGCTCCTGCGGCTTGTCGTGGAATGCCACGACCTGTGCTTCCATCGCTCATCCAAGAACCCTAAAACCACAGAAAATGAAAACCCTAAAACCACCAAAAAGAAAAAGATAATTAAAGTAGAAATTGCGACCACGGTGGGATTCGAACCCACGACCTTCAGATCCGAAGTCTGACGCGCTAATCCACTGCGCTACGCGGCCATGTTATGTTTCCAATCACATTGCACAATCTACACAAATATCACAGCACATGATAGAAAAAAAAAACGTGGAAAGATTTTTCTTCCAACTTTTGTCACAATAATGCGGCCAGTCACTGTCAAAAATTAAGTGCTATGCTAATCCTGATTATTATCGTCATTATCACTGTCGCCGTCGCTGCCGCTGCTACAGAGGATGGAATCGTCCTCCTCGTCTTCGCTGTCGTTGAGATCGTCGCCCTGCGACACCTTGTCCGCTAGGGTTTTCACCACATTCTCCAGCGCCGCGGTGTGATCCTGGCCATGACGGAGTAGCGTCTCGACGGCGGAGGCCGGGGTCATCTTCACGCTCGCGATCAGGCCTTCGATCGCCGGGTAGAGCTCGTGATCCTCGATCTTGAGATAGGTCGCCGCGAGCGATCGAAATGCCGCGAACGAGCAGTAGCTCATGTGGATGTGCATGTCCATTCTCCCCGGCCGCAGGAGCGCAGCGTCCAATCGCTTCACGAAATTCGTGGTGAAGACGAAGATCCGCTCGCTGCCGCACGAGGACCACAATCCATCCGTGAAATTCAGCAATCCCGAGAGTGTCACGCCCTGATCCTCTGGATCTAGCGCCCTCTCTCTCCTCCTCCTCCTCCTCTTTTGGATCTTGGAGATATTTCCTTCGTCCTCCTTGTCCTTGTTCTTCTTCTTCTTCTTGTTCCTGCGACGATTCTCGATTGGAATGGAGCAATCGATGTCCTCCACCACGACAATCGCGCGATCCTTGACGTGAATCAGCAGCTGCCGGAGCTCCTGGTTGCTGCGGACCTTGGTGAGCTCCAGATCGTAGACGTCATAGCCAGTGAAGTTCGACATGGCTCCAATCAGGCTGGATTTCCCGGTTCCAGGGGGGCCGTAGAGCAAATACCCCCTCTTCCACGCTCGCCCCACTCCAGCATAGAAATCCTTGCCTTTCATGAATCTCGTGAGATCCTCCATGAGCAGCGCTTTGTAATCCGGATCCATGGCGATCGTGTCGAATGTGGGGGGCGGATTGAAAGGGATGGACTCCCACGACTCGTAGATGTTCGTGTGGAGCTCCTTCTCGCAGCCCAGTTTCTCGATCTCCCTGCCCCTTTCCATGACGAACGCAAGGTAATCGGGCACTAGATCTCGATCGGCTTTGGGGACTGTTAGATGGAGGAATCGCTGCTCCTCCCTGCGATACATTTGCTCGCTCACGATCGTCTGGAGCTCCCACACTATCCTGGCGCCCCGGAATTCGTCGAAGACCTGCTGGCCAGTGGCGATGGTGAATGTGAGCTTCTTGGCGTTTCTAGGGCACTCGGCGGTGAGCGCGTCGGCCCTGTTCTTGAGGCTGGACGAGTAGAGGGCGGCGTAGGTGTAGAGATCGTTGCTTCCGGCGCCGCTGCGATCGCTGATTGTAATGCTGTGGTAGAGTGACCAGCGGTGGAGGATCTTGCGGCGGAGATCCTCGAGGAAGCGATAGAAATCGGGGGGGACTAGGGTTTTGAGGGCGGCGGCGACGCCCACCACCGACCAGAAGAATGCGATGAGCATCGAGTACTCCATGGATCTCTCTCTCGCTCTCCAAATATGACGAGTGGATTGGAAGAGGGAGAAGAAATCTATCACTCGGCTTGACCTCGGCGATCGCCCAATTCCAGTGGTGGATGGTTTGGAGTGGAGTGGAGAGCGCACTTTTATAGGGAAAAGAAGCTTGGACAGCACACAAATGGAACGTCCAACGAATCTTCGTCCTCTTCACTGTTTACTTGTCAAACAAAGTAAACTTTCTCTCGCGTCGCCGAATATTTCCGGGCTTGCTTTCCTTATTATGTTAATTTCATCTTCGCATAGGGATCAAACTCAGATATTCGTACCTCATGTTTTGTAGCTCGTAGGCAGTGCTGATTGGGGACATCGAGCCAGTGTAGTGATCGACGAACAGAATCGTTCCAGTGGCGGACAAATGCTACAAAATGCTCGATTAGGTAGGCGTGTGGATCTCAAGAGAATCATAAATCAGTTTAAGAAACAAAACTTTGATCACAGCGTCAGCTCCATTGCGTTCTCAACGATTTTGGCGAATGTATCCAGGAACGATGCCAAGTCCGCGCCATAGAGAATCCGATGATCCGCAGTCACATTCACCTGACAATTCCATCACATAAGTTTCATGAGCAAAAGATTCCTTGACGTTTTCATACCTGCATCTGGTTCTTAACACTAAACACGCGACCCTCGCTTGCCACAACAGTTGGTTTGGCTGCACCAACAGCCATAATCGCGCCCTGTGGAGACAAGAAATTTAACAAGCTCACTGAAAACTCGACAAAACCCATGCTTACTTGGCCAGGTGGAAGTATAGCGTCAAATCGATCCACGCCAAACATCCCCAGGTTTGATATTGTAAAAGTTCCTGTAATTGGTTGTCAAAGCGTATTGTGCAATGCTTAAACACACTAGAATTTGCTGAAACCTGTGGTGTACTCCTGGGGTTGCAGCTGTTTGGCACGAGCCTTGTCCACAAGCTCCTTCCACTTTCGAGCAAGGGTGTAGACATCAGCCTATTATACAACAGTGCCATCAGAGAAAACAGCGAACGCAAAACTCAAATCTGATCTGGGAAAGAGGAGTTTACCTTGTCCGCATTCTGGAGCACTGGAGTTATAAGGCCTCCATGAATAGCCACGGCAACAGCGATGTTGATGTTGCTGTTGTGACAGAAACTCTTGCCTTCCTTGCAACTTGCGTTTACGACAGGATGCCGGGCAAGCGCCAAAGCTGCTGCTTTTGCCAAAAGAACTGACATGGTGACCCCCTTGGATTTTATCTGCAGCAAAAATCCTCAAAAGCTAGCAAAAGAAGTAACAAAGTTACGTTACAAACCTTTCTGTAGAGAGCATCAATCCCAGTTGTCGAGATGGAACACCCGACCCGGAAAGTTGGCACGGACAAACTCTCCACCATGTTTTTGGACACTGCTGCCTGCATGCCAGTGAAAGGCACGGTGGAATCCGTTCGAGGAGGAGCTTCAGCTTTTCCCGAAGATGGAGATGGATCTGCCACTAGAGCTCCATCCTCCTGCTGCTTTGGCGATGCAAGGATGCTTGCTCCCACACCTTGCAAGCTCAGCACACTGCCCAGGCTCGTCAATGGCTTTCCAGCAAATACCTCGACGTCAGCTGGGACGATCCGTCCATGCGGCCCAGTTCCGGAGATCTTGGAGAGGTCGGCCTTGTATTGTTTGGCCAACTTCTTTGCATGAGGAGTTGCGACGAGAGATTTCTCCTCCGCCACCACCTCTGGAAGCGCGTCGGGAAATTCGACTTTAGGAGCTTCCACAGCTGGCGCTGGAGATGACAATCCAATCGATTTGCTCCTCGCCTCGGCAATATCCTCCTCGTTCTCTGCGAGCAACGCGATCAACTCGTTGATCGCCGCAGAACTGCCACTTTCCACCACAATGCGAGCCAAATATCCATCGTAGAACACTTCCACATCCATGTCCGCCTTGTCCGACTCCACAACCGCGACGATATCCCCTTTCTTGACCTTGTCGCCTTCGGCCTTCGTCCACTCGACGACCTTGCCCTCGGTCATGGTGGCGCTGAGCTTCGGCATGAGGATCTCGCGGATCTTCGCCGCCGCCACGACCAGCGATCCCCTCCTCCCGCCAATCGAACCCTTGGAAGAGGGAAAAATAGCGATCCATCCCTTGGACGAAGAAAGATTGCCTCCTGGGCTTTGGATCAACATTGATGGATCCGAAATCATCATCGCCACCCGAGAAACACTAGGGGAAATTTAGGGCCACCATTACATGCATGTCATCGTCCAAAAGAATGCAGCAATTCCAGCGTTGAAAAAGGGTACACAAAATTTTTTAAGTGAAATAAAAGGTTTCGCTGCGGCAGAAGCAGCTCACCATCGAAGGCACCAAGCGCAGGATATGACGTTCTAGATCCACACCGCATCCAGATTGATGGCGATCATCCCTGGGCAAAAGTCGAAGTTGTTTTCCAGAGTCATCCAAGAACACTGAAAACTCCGATGGCGTAGAGATTGAGGTGGAAGATCCGGGGATCACGGGCTTGATCTCGCGATCTGATCAATCCTGCTCCACAATGCAGCGCAGTAAACTTTGTCCCTATCATGATTATCGCCATAGTCCTCATCATTATTATCGTCATAGTCCTCATCGTAATCGTCCTCCTCGTCATCGCTATCATCGAGATAGTCGTCTCGCAACACCTTATCCGCCTAAGGTTTTCACCACATTCTCTAGCGCGGCGGTGGGATCCTCGCCATGCCGGACCAGCGCCTCCACGGCGGAGGCGGGGGTTATCTTCATGCTCTCGAGGAGGCATTCGATCGCCGGGTAGAGCTCGTGATCCTCGATCTTGAGATAGGTCGCCGCCAGCGATCGAAACGCCGCGAACGAGCATTGTCCTCCACTTTCGGACCTGGGCATTGTCTTCTTCGCGATTCTCGATTGGAATGGAGCAATCGATGTCATCCACCACGACAATCGCGCGCTCCTTGATGTGAATCAGCAGCTGCCAGAGATTCTGGTTGTTTTGGACCTTGGTGAGCTCCAGATCATAGACGTCATAGCCAGTGAAATTCGACATGGCTCCAATCAGGCTGGATTTCCCGGTTCCAGGGGGGCCGTAGAGCAAATACCCCCTCTTCCATGCTCGTCCCACCGAGGCATAGAAATCCTTGCCTTTCGTGAATTTCGCGAGATCGCCCATGAGCAGCGCTTTGTAATCCGGATCCATGCCAATTGTGTCGAATGTGGCTGGCGGATTGAGAGGAATGGACTCCCACCAGTCATAGATGTTCCTTGTCGCAGCTGGATTTCTCGATCTCTCTGGGTAATCGTAATGGTGTGGTAGAGTGACCAGCGGGTGATGATCTTGCGCTGGAGATGCTCGAAGAAGAGATAGAAATCGGGAGGAATTAGGAATTTGAAGAAGGCTGCGACGCCCACCACCGACCAGAAGAAGGCGATGAGCATCGAGTACTCCATGGATGTCGCTCTATCACGATGTGATTAAAGGGAGAAGAGATCTTGTTTCGTTGCAGGAAGATTGAGAATAGAAATACTGGCGATCGCCCAATTCCATCATGGCATTCGGGTCGATCAATTGGAATGGAGGCATCAGAGCAATCTTATAGGTGAAGAAGCTTGGAGCACACAAAAAGGATCTCGTCGTTTACTCTGGCTGGAATAAAGTGAATGTCCTGTTGAGTTTCCTCGCGGACTATTTCAAGATTCGCGCCCGAGGCAAGTTTCGTGTTTCTGGTTTGTTTTAGAATCCCGCCTCCTCAATTTTCAAATTTTAGCGTAAATGTAACAAATGATTAAGAATATGTTTGAATATTCTTGTATATTCTTGATATTTATTTAGATTAATTTTGTGTTTATAAATTTTAAACACCTAGAAGTATATTTTAATTTATTCTACCATCTAACGGTTGATATGCAATAAGATTAATCTCGTGTTTATAAATTATAAACATTATGAAAATTCTTAAACACCAAAAACATTTAATAAATATGCAAACTCAGGTTATTTCTTTTTTTTTTAAAGCTCTTTAGTTAATCATTATATCAGTGGCAAGATTGGATACTTTTAAAGCAACAATACAAGCCCATCAGAGCTTCTCAGGTAAGTAAGAAAAAAGAAGAAAAGCTACACTATTTATTTGATAGTATTTTGTACTTCCTCAGGCTTGTGAGGATCGTGGAATTGCAGTCAAGGATTCCGGGCACACGATCGCAATCAAACACGATCGTAATCAAACATGGTGTTTGATTTCTCATCCAACATGACTCTGATGTGGCACCACGATTACAGCGCCATCGTGGCCGTCCAAAGAAATGCACGCAAAAAAAAAAAGCAATTCCAGCGGTCGTGATTCATTCACCTTTAGCGAGGTAATACAAACAAAAAGAAGAATTTCACCTCCCTTGCCTTCTCAAGCAGCAGTCTTCTCGGACTTGAGAGGCTTGACCGTCTCCCAAGTAAAATCCGGATCGTCGCGACCAAAATGCCCGTACGCAGCGGTCTTGAGGTAGCGCTTGTTCGATCCGCGCTTCAAATCCAGATGGATGGCAATCATCCCCGGGCGGAAGTCGAAGTTGTTTTTGATGATCTCCAGTATCTCCGCGTCGGGGATCTTCCCAGTCCCGTAGCTATCCACGAACACCGACAGCGGCTCTGGGACTCCAATCGCGTAAGAAACCTGGACGATGCATCGGCGAGCCAGCCCCGCCGCCACCACGCTCTTGGCAGCTTGCCTCACGATATAAGCTCCGCTCCGATCCACCTTGGTCGGATCCTTCCCAGAGAAAGCTCCGCCGCCGTGAGCTCCCCAGCCGCCGTAGGTGTCGATGATGATCTTCCTGCCAGTGAGCCCCGCATCGCCGTGAGGACCCCCGATGACGAACCTCCCGGACGGGTTGAGGTGGAAGATGGTGTTCTCGTCGAGATACTGCTCGGGGATCACGGGCTTGATCACAAACTCCCGCAAGTCGGCGGCGATCTGATCGTTGGTGACGGTCTCGTCGTGCTGGGTGGAGATGAGCACGGTGTGGACGCGGATGGGGACCATAGCGCCACCTTCGTTGCGATACTCTACGGTGACTTGGGTCTTTCCATCCGGCCTCAGCCAGCTGCAAGTCCCATTCTTGCGGACCTCGGTGAGCTTAGCGCCGAGCTTGGTCGCGAGGACGTGACTTAGCGGCATCAGCTCCTCGGTCTCGTCGGTGGCGTAGCCAAACATGTGTCCCTGGTCGCCAGCGCCGATCTCTTCGGGCTTCTTCGTGCCGAGGCCGTGGACTCCCTGGGCGATGTCGGGGGACTGCTGCTCGATGTTGACGAGAACCTTGCAGTGATCCGCGTCGAGGCCCACGGAGTCGGAGGTGAATCCAATCTCCCGGCAGGTGTCGCGGACGATCTTCTCGTAGTCGACGTTGGCCTTGGTGGTGATCTCGCCAAACACCATCACCATGTTGGTCTTGGTGCACGTCTCGCAGGCCACCTTGCTGTCGGGGTCTTGCGCCAGGCAGGCGTCCAGCACGGCGTCGGAGATCTGGTCGCAGAGCTTGTCTGGATGGCCCTCGTTCACCGACTCGGATGTGAACAAGAAGCTCTCCATTGCGCCGCTCGTGCCTGGAATCGAAATGCGGGGAGATTTAGCTCGAGAATCCGACGATTTGGCTACCTACGAGCATGGAGCTCACAAATCTAGCAAGAAATTCACAGATCTAGGCACAAGGACACCAGGGCAGCCACATTTCGGCAGATTTGTGGCTGGAATCGTCGAATCTGGCAGCAAACCCTGGGATTCGTTCAAGAAATCTCACCTGAGTGACCGGCGCCTGCCTGGGGAAGAGATTAGAGCGCGCCCGGAGGAACGAGAGGGCGAGAGTGGGCTGCTCCAAATATGGGGGAAGCACGGAAAACCTAGAGAGAGGAGCAAGCCGTATATATGTGGGAAGCATGGTAAATACATTGCACCTGGTAAGATTTACTGTGGATTCCCGGGATATGCGATTCGTACCGTGGATCGAACGTGACTTCGTGTTTGCGCCGACAATTTGGACAGTCTGGACCATGCTGGCCGTCAGATGTCTCCTGCGCTGGGTTATAGATTAATTGTTTTGCAATATTTGTTACTGTTTACAACCATAAAATAATATCTTGAACTTTGCACCTTTTCCTAATGACTTTTTATTATAGTGCATCTACCACAGGTTTTAAATTTTCTAAAGATAAAGGTCGACCTATACATAATGTATATAATATATTCTATGTTGTCCCCAAAGGAACACAAAAACCATGTGTGAATGTTTTGTTTGCGATTTTTGCGAACCATGGGTATAATCAAATCTGAAACGACTGAAAAACGCAACCTCCCGAAACTAGTTCGAACAAGAGTTAATCTTGACCCTGTTATGTACAAGAGCAGCACACGAAATTCCAGAAATGGACATTGAGATTTGCCTCTTGCATGATCCAGCTTAAAACCAGCCGCTTGTTCTTTTGACTTACCAGGGTGTGATGATCTTCTGGAATCTACCTTTCCATCTCCACTTGCTTCTCTGCTGTTGTCACTAGCCGAGCCACAAAACAGGCACAGCGTCCTTGATCTTGTGGTTGCGCCTTGTTTGCACGAATCGCAACGCGTCCATAGCAGAGAAGCGAGCAGAGATGGAGAAGCAGCTCCAGATAAACGCTAAAGAACAGCGTAAACCCTACAAATGCCGAATACTCGTTTAGGACAGCTAAGTGTAAATTTCAGGCTCTTTTATATACAATTGAATGTTTCAGCATTTAGTCGCGGTTGTCCTTGGATGGGCCTTGCCCGGGAGTGCTCTGATCCTTGACGAGCATCTCAACTCCGGATTGAGCCTTCCTGTTGTTGAGAAGATCCACGCTCGACGGTCTGTCCGGGCACTTCCCATCTTGGCTGTCGATACATTTCGAAGGACCTCCCGGAGTCTCACTGCCTTGCAGCGAGCTCCCAAGCTCGGCCTGGTGGTTCATCACCGAAAACGAGCCCAGCCTGGAGCAGTGGACGCTGCCGCTGATCAAAATCACGAACGCGATCGCGAGAAGTATCCTTCCGTGAGCCATTTTCGTCCACTCCAGGAACAAATCTCTAGCTCTTTTCTTTGTGCTGCTGATACGTTTGCTGCTGATACGTTCTTGCTGCTGATACTTGTGTTCCAAGAGAGTGATGATATCGTTGTATAAGAAACCAGGATCTCTTGTCAGGCGCTGTGTCCTTGCTCTGATACGATTCGATCGGATGAAGAACTGCTCAAGTTGTGTTCAGTGCTCGCGCCTCCAGTGTCTTATATACACAGAAGAAGTGTTCTTCCTCCATCGGGCCTGGTAAACAGTCAATTCAGTGGCGCGTTTGCTCGTGAACCGGTTTGATTAGCTTCCGAGCGAGAAAAGCTCACACTCTTACATGGAACGAGTTACAGCTTTTCAAAGTCAGCCTGTTGAAAGTTACACAAACAAAGTTAGCGGCGGGACTCCGGAGTCGCAACGCACGATCCGTTCAAAGTCTATAACACCAACCATTACCTTTTCGTAAACACATGTGTTGTCAACACGGGTGTTCCTCCACAAATGCATCCTCCTCCCTCCCAACAGACGAGTAGCCACTTCTTTTCAAGACCTTGTGCCTGCCCGTGACGGTTTCATCATGGTCGTGGTCGTGATCACTGCTGTGAGAGTCTTCCGCTGCTGCTGCTTGTCTGGCTTTTTGTTGAGCGGACTTGCGCCAGACGTTTAGCGAGTGCACAATACTTTCCTGGAATATTGTCTTTTTGTAGTTTGTACCCATCTGCATCCACAATGTGATGAGTCAACGCGTTGCTTCTTCCATTGCCGTATACACTCGATCGGGAAAAAATTTAAGGAAAGCTACCTGAGTGACGAGAGCATAGAGGGGCAAGGTGCTGTAGCTACATAGGAACTGTGCAAAGACCCTGCCATAGCAAATTTAAAGCGTCAGGCTGTTTTTTATTCGAGTGCCTTACCCCGAAATCAAGCGAGCATATACGTAGATGTATTTCTTATACGCTTGATCAGCCATGAGACAAGACTCGTATCCAAATTGCCACTGCAAAAAAACTCGCCAAAATGTAAACTTCAAATCTCAACACAGCAAATGTTACCAAAGTCCAAAGAAACGTTGCAAGCTCAAATGCATTCTGGACCAAGGAAATACAAAGTTACAAAACATACCAGAAGAAACCTTATCACGGACCTGGAAAAGTACGAAGTGGATAAGGAAGAGTAGAAGTTCCGGCTTACTGAACCAAAAGAGATTGTCCCGAGGCTTCAATGCCTGGCCAATGTAACGACCGCGAATACCAGCATTTTCCAGAGCAAGCGTTGCAATGATGTGCTGGAGCTTTGCTCCAACAAGAATTACCAGCTGCAAATCATCACTTGTTACATTATAAAGCTCGGGCTGGTGACAATACTTACAATCACTGGCAGAAACGCAAACCAGAAATACAAGTTTACACCTGTTGTTACAAACGTAAAGTTTAGACATGACAGCAATGGAGAAACTTACCATGTACGTTGATCAGCATAAAAACAATCACAAATATCCACAAGGGGAAGCTGCATTACAGAAAGCCTGAGCAAGGACAAATAACAACAGGATTTTTTACCTTATGCCCACAATCTCTTTGAATTCGTCTTCTACAGTTCGTATCATGTAGCTATGAAAATCGTACGATGTTCCCGTGTGATGATTCTGCATGAGATGAACTCAGCTGAGTATCATTAAACCGGTTAATCTTGGCCTTACAGTTATGAAGCCTAAGCGCAAAGTCAAATAGTCGGCTCGTGTCACCGATTGTCCAAATTGTCGAAGAAAACAAACCTGCAGGAAAGTATGCAATTAGAAAAAGTCACAAGACTGACTAGATTGTTGGTTTCACATACGATCCACACTAGCAGCTTGTTTCTGCTCCATCTGCTGGAAGTATGATAAAGCACAAATGTGGATTGCCGTCTGAGAGTCAGTGTCTTTGTTATTTCTGAAACAAAAGAAGAACGCTGTTACTAGTCAAGAAACTCAGGACATACTACCACTAAGACTGTCATGGCTTTCGGCGTGAGCTTCGTTTTCCCAGGAACTCCAGCTATATATCTATCTTGGAAGTAAGTCAGTACCATTAACAGAAACGAAACTCACATAGCACCTTCATCAGAGCGAGCAGCATAGTTAAGCAGCTGTAGACTACATGAGTCACTCCCAAAACAAAAATAAAACGGTGAAGCTGCTCGAGGCTTTCGAACGACACAAATGGTTCTTTCCCCTGCATCGAAAATCGTGAGAAGTTCCGAGGTTTTTACTTGATCCTCACCTTGTGCACACAAGTGATCCCGAAACGAGAATTCAGTTGTCGCCTGGGATTGAGGTTGCCGAGCATCGCCGCGTGAATGCTGCCTTCCATCTCGTGGCTGCTCGACTCTCGCTTGCATGGTGTAGGCATTCTGTCGTAGAAACTGGAATCCACACAGAACTGCGATATGTAGTTCTGTGTGACAGTGAGAACGAGAGAAATAAATCCCAGGACCATAAGTTCTGTAAAGCAAGAAAAACATTACAATGTGATATCAACCAAACGAGGAGATCACGTAGGCTATACCATCTCTTATTTTTTCGAGCGCATGAAGCAAAGGCTTTCGTTTAGTCCTCTTGAGCCACTGCCAAAGAAAAAAATCGAGCAAAGATCAAAGATCTCGATCAAGAAAGAAGTCGCAAGCAGTAGAAAATTTATTAGAACAACGATCGCTGCCGCGACATGGTCACGAACAGGGAGAAAACAGGCATTAAATGCGAGGGAAGAACGGGCAACACAAACAAATCGAGAAAGAAAGCATAAGAAATCCATTGCTCGCGACTTACATTGCCAAGACAATGGATGGATCGCTCCGCGCCGAGCGAGACGATGACGAATCCAGTGCAAACCACCGATACGGCCCAGGTCGGGGTGAGATAGAGCGGCCGCTCCAGCAAATGCAGCTCCTCCTCATTCAGCGCCATGCCGGATCGATCGAGCAAATCTGCAACTGCGCAAGAAAACCTAGCACGGCGGTCACACGGGAATGGGAATGCTTGGATTCGTCCTCGTCCTGTAAACTTATAGGAAGAAGTTCGCTCACACACAACTTGGGCTCATGTGAGTAGTACGAACAAACGTTTGACAAACGGCCACATTATGTGCCACATGGCCACGCGGGGGCAAGCGTACGGACGAATTAATATTCGGTGGAATTGTGGATCCAAGTCAAATTTGGTCAGTTTCTCGAGACGGGAAAATTTGTAAACACTTAGAAGTTCTAAACTCACTGATTCTATGACTCACTGGATCGCGAAAGCATCTTTAACAATCCTTGATCCATTGTTAGTTTTCAAATTCGCGAGAGGCACTATATAGTCAAATGAATGAACGAACCTTGTCAAGGGCTAGATCAATCAATGGTTTGTCAAAGGTATTGCTGGCATGTAGCGAGAACATCACTCTCGTTTTCTTTTCTTTTTTCTCTGCTGGGCTACTGTGACAGCAAAAAGAACGATCAATGAATATGGTTGTTGATACAAAATTCAGATCAAACCTGACCGAGAGCATAGTATTTTATTTGTGGACCTCCCCGGGTCTTGGAAAAGTTTTGCCTCCCCTGGAAAGAGAAAATAAAGGCAAGAGGAGAAAGAGTGAGAATAGATCACTTTCATTGCGCCTTGTACTGCTTATGAACGGAATTGTTAGTACAGAAATCGACGAAAGAAAATTACTGGGAGTGTATGTTTGGCGTTTATGGTGTTGGACTTCTCCGAGGTTTTTTGACGCGGTATCAAGCTGTCGCGGCATTCGCTTCCTGAAGGCCACAGACCATGTTTGCTGGAACGGCTACATCGATCATTTTGGGATAAGGCAGTCCCAAATCTGCACACACACACACACAAAGTTATTCAAGTGTACGAGACCAGCAAGAAATCCACTTACTTTCCATAATCTTTACAAATGCTTCCTGCAAAATCGCAAGCCAACGTCAGGAACACGCGAACTAAACAAAGGAAAATACCTCGTCCTTCGTAAGTCGAGTGTTGTGAAGCAGCTCTTCCCCCACGGTTGTAACCTTGAGAAAAAGAAAAAAAACGAGTTGTTAAGGGCGAGAATCGAAGAACATGATAGCTCGACTTACAGTATTCCCTTTATAGTCATGTGCAGGATACAATAAGGTGTCCTTCGGGAGCGAGAGGATCTGGCAGTGGAGCAGCAAATTCAATTTCCACCAAAAGGATAAGGCAATCATTCATACCTGAGAATGAACTGACTTGTACAGCTCTCTTGCATTACCTCCCTGCAAAGAAGGCAAAATCTTACTCAGAGATTCGAAGGGCAAAAAAACGAGAAATAAAACACCTGGAAATCCGTGCGACCACACCCTCTAACGAGCAAAGCGTCTCCTGTGAAAGCTATTCGTGGCGATGGCTGCCCTTCACCTTCTCCTGACACATACGTGACGCATCCTTGGGTATGTCCCGGTGTGGGACGAACCTGTGCAAATAAATCTTTGAGCTAAAAGCAGTGAAAAGAAAAAAATGCACCTCCAAATACAAGTTCCCGAAGTGTATCTTTTCTCCTGGCTCCACGAAAACATCCGCTTGTGCTTTGCTTGCCTTGGATATCAGGGATTTTGCACTCGGGAGTTTACTCTAAACAAGGAACCGTGATTAGAAGAAAGAACGACAAAAGAAGAAAAAAGAGTACCTTCAGGAGACCCGTTCCAGTGACATGATCGGCGTGTACGTGAGTGTTCATCGCGTACTTGAGCTTTAGCCCAAGTTCCTTGATCAAGTTTACATCTCTATCGACGGTCTTGTCCACGGGATCTATCAGCTGGACGCTCCACAACTTAGCCACAAAAGAAGAAGAAAGGAAACACAAAAGAAGAAATATCTCTGTTTACCACTGCTGGCTTTTCTGGATGCCCAATGTCCGCAAGCAAATACGTGTAAGTACACGAGTCCTTCTCGAAGAGCTGTCGAAAGAGGAGAGGGGAATCCTGGTGCGTCGCAGTGGCCACCATCGTCGTCGATTTCAGCGCTCGCAAGTCGGGATTTCGAGAAAATCCTGCTCCCGGAGCCCAGAATCTCGCTGCAAGCATATAACGCTGGTGCAATGGCGCTCACAGATCGGCAGCGGCGGCGGGGAGCTAGCATTACCTGATCGCCGGTAGCGCGCGCCGCGACGGAGGTAGTGATCGATCGAGAGATAGTGCCTTTGTTCCAAAACCCTACCACCAATGCGGGTTCTTTGTCTTGTTCATAGTTTTTGCGTCGCGATCTGTCCACATCAAAGATGCCAATAAAATGGCCACGCATTGTAGAACCATCGAGCGTAAGATAGTTTTCTATCCTCTCTATCTCTTCTATCGATTCTTACGAGTTCTTTCTCTCTTTTTTTGCGCTTTTTTTTTTCTCACGGTCCAGGCCGTGGTTGCTTCAAGAAGGAAGCTATGGTGTTGCCCAATCCCGCACCGATGGCCTGTGCCAATTGAGCTGCCTGCACCATTCCACTACCGCTCAGCAAAACCGGCCTAAACTTCCACGACTCCGAGAGCCTTTGCATTACCTCCTTGGCAGTTTTCCTACAATCGATCACGTCGATGATCCGGCGTTCCGTGAAAGTCCAAGTATCCCTAAATCCTGGAACCAAAAAATAGATCTGGTCGCGAAAACAAACTTGCGAGAGCGTTTAGACTTACCGGGAGAGTAATCTGTGAGCATGTAAACCTCTGCTGCTGTGTAGACTCCGCCGAGGATCGCTCGCTTGGAGTAGAAATCCCAGTCCGTGGATCTGTCTCCGACGGAGTGCCAGATCTCGTCCATTAGCACGGCTCGTTGTTTCATCGCGACAGGAAGGTTAATGGGATTCGCCTGGTACAAAGAGAAAGGATAGAAGAGTTTAAAGCTTGGGAGAAGTGAGAACAACTTACTTGGATGCTCAAAGCTTGAGCCCACTTGGAAATATAAGGAGCTTGCATCTCGAGACGAATGCGCATGACTTTCGCCAGTCTCTCGTGCAGCACCAGCTTCTCGAGCTCCTCACTTTGCTCTTCAACAGCGTCGGTAAGTTCGTCCAGCGATTCATCCATGAAGTACTGCTCAGCAACGGAGAGAGTATCTGTTGAGAAAACAAGAAACCTTTTGTTGAAAGACTTACTTCCACGAGAGCAGCTTCTTTCCTATGGAAGGCTCCAAGGATCGCAGGCGATAGATTTACGTCTCTTGCTCCCGCTGCAATGGCGGCCTCTGTCCATCCCAAAGTAGGCTGCAAAAGCATCACAGCTCTTGAATTCTCTAGGAAGAATGGAAAAGCGAGTGTACATACAACATACGTAAGAGCCGCATTGAGAACACGCCGTTTCTCATCGTCCTCTTCTTTTTCTTTCTGCTTCTTGCTCTCGTGAGAAGCCTTGTGTTTATGTGACTCCTTCTCGTCTGCAAGAAAACAAACAGAAAAAGAATGGGAGCTCCAGATAGAATGAAGGAAAACAACGCAGACCTTCAACGCCAGCGTCTTTGCCAGCGTCTTTGCACATGAAACGCACTGGCTGGAACGAAAACTCGCATCCGAGGCATTTCTCGCGCGTTAAGTTGGAGCCTGCAACAGTTCAGCTTACAGAATGACAACTCGGCATTTTAGTGCTTTCCCTAAAACTCTCGAAAAGAAGCTACCTCGAGTCCAGGGCTCTCTTGTAAAATACTTCCTCCTGGAAGAGCTGAAAAAAAGAACGAAGGTCAGAAAACAAAACCACACACCAAACGATTAAGAAGACCTGCTCAAACGATCAGCATTCCTTCCCAAAACCAAAGCTTCAAATGGAATCGCACAGCGATCAATTCCAGAGCTTGATTCCAATCTTCCAGTGGCCCTGAAGCGCACAGGAATCAACCAAGAAGATCTCACTGCCGACAAGCACATACCACGAGAATCTGGACACGCGCTTGAGCGCCCGCACAAACGACATTCCTCCCTCGCAAGCCCTAAACTCTTTTTACCCTTTGTCAAAAGCTAAGATGAATTGTTTCAAATGTAGGATCTTTTTAGGGCACAAAAAGCAGAAGTGTGGCACGTGGATGCCATGCACCAACAACGACATGCCGCTGCTGTGTCCTATAATAAACCCCATGTCTCGCTAGAAAGAAGAAGACACTCTCTCGCAGTTCTAGCTCTCTCTTTCTCTCTCTCTCGGTCCAAATTCCATGGCGGACAAGATGCAAAGCGGCGAGCGCAAGCTCCGCGAGCACTCGCCCAACGCGCGCCAGGTGCTAGGGCTCGTCGCGCTGCTCTTGGGCACGGTGGCGGTGCTGACGGTGGGCGGATTCATGCTGGGCGGCCTGGCGCTGGCGGTGGTGATCGGCATCCCCGTCTTCCTCTTCTTCAGCCCGGTGCTCGTCCCCCTGGGCATCGTCCTCTTCCTCGCGGTCTCGGGCATTGTCATCACCGGCGCCGCCATCCTCGCCTTCCTCTCCTCCGTGTCGTGGATTTACAACTACTTCAAGGGGAGGCATCCCGTCGGCTCCGACAAGATCGAGGCCGCGCGCCAGAGGCTCCTCGGCTCCGTACACCAGGCCACCGAGAAGGCCCGCGAGTACGGCAGCTACGCCGGCGGCAAGGCGCAGGAGGCGGCGCCGGGGGCTGCGCCAGGGGCGTAAACCCCTCTCTGTACGGCCTTGTGTACCGCCGGGGGCTTAAACCCCTCTGTACGGCCCTGGGTACGGTAGGACTATTCTATGTACGGACGGAATGTGCTAAATAACGTTCTTTTTCTTACTAAAGGCTTAGATTTTAGGGTTGTGGGATTTCTTTCGCCGCAAAGAGATTCGGTTGGCACAAGCAGTGTAAATGCGGGGCCTGGATTACGACGCTCGTCATTCATTTTCTACCCCACTTGAGTAATTACTATGATAGTTTTTCTTTTACGTGTTCTAGCTGGCCGCCGGACGAGACGACGACGGTGGGAGTTAAAAAAAAGTTGGCCCCAGGCAAGTAAATGTGGGCACGGACATTCAGGATTTTCGGGTAAATTCTCTCATTATGACGGGGACGGGTTAAACGGGCGGGCTCTCATCACAGGTTAAGGCGTGATTAGAACTAAACTGGAGGTTTTTTTGTTTTTATACAATGTAGCGGTCAGATTCACAAAGATCTTCGTTGTTCGTTTTGTCTTTGTTGACCTCTTGTACCTTGTCCTTGGATTTCTCCTCTCTCTTGATTTTTTTGGTGTAGTGTAGTTTTTCTAGAGCCCGGTTGTGTTCTTCGTGGATGTTCTCCTCGAGAGAACCTGAGTGCTATAAAAAAATCCCAAAAAGAACGAGATCTTGCATTAGCCAGCTTTATAAATCCGTGAAATCAAGCATACAAAGAGCTCAACTTTCTACTTTGGAGGAACGACGAAAACTGGAAAAACAGGAGCTAACGACGAACAGGAAAGCATACCAACAGAGGAGAGTGAGGCACTCACTACTTGGCGCGCCGCTTGGATTGGAGCTCGTCGAGCTGCGTGTGAAGATCTTTGAGAATTCGCCGGTGGACGTCCCGAGCCGAGGCTGCCGGAGTGGTGGTAGTCGGGTCCTTGGAAACTGGCGATGACTTGAAAGCTCGGTTGATCTCTTTGGCTGGAAGAATTTCCTCGGGATTCTTCTTCGGTGGCTCCTCGGTTTTGACGAGATCTTTCACTGGAAAGATCTCCTCAAGATCTTCACGGACGGTTTCCTGGACCGGATCGTGCAGCGAGACCTCGAGCAACTCATCGTCTGAGAATGGAACCGGAGGAGAGGACTCGGCCGCCGGAGGTGGAGTCGCTGGAGCTTCTTCGTCCCAGATCGGTCCGCTTTTCGCTGGAATTTTCTCCGGGCCAGCAACGCTAACTTGTTCTAGAAGAGGCGCCTCCACTGTCTCTAACTCTGGCATATCGATCTCCTTCACCTCGATCGGAGCAACCTCGAGAACTTTCGATTCTGGAGCGACCAAAACCGGCTTTTCCTCTACCTCTTCCACTATTTCTACCAGAGTTCTACTGCTGACCTCTTCCAGAGTTTTAGGTGGAGCCGACTCCTCGAGCTTCGACCCGGCAAAGGCCACTGGAGGATGATCACGAACAGTCGAGGACGCAACACCATCTTCTTCTCCGCTCTTCTTCTTGCTCTCGACCGGAGGAGCTGCCGGTTCTCCAGCAAGAGGCTTAAGTTCTCCGGCCTTGAAAACTTCGTCCACCCAGGAAGCAAGCTTGATCTTCCACTCCTCAATCACTTCCATCCAGGTCGCGCCGGAGCCATCCACCTCCGATCGTCTCCGCTTCACAGCCACGGCCTCGTTGCTCGCCTGGCTCCAGTCTCCATACGGCCAGCTCTCGTCCATGACGCTGGGAATGGACTTCTCCCCCTTGGCCCATCGCTCGCGCTCCTCCGTGGTCTCCTCCAACCTCGGCTTCATGCTGATGAGCGCGATGATGAACAAAGTGGTGGAAATGAGCAGCGGCGAGAAGTAGAGCAGGATGTGGAACAGCGAGGGCGTGAGCAGCAACAAAATGGATCCGCACACCAGTGGATGATTCCACATGATGTCGAAAACGGCCGAGAACTGGAAACCCATCGGAGATCGATATGAGCAGTCGATGATGAGCTACTTATCTGTGAGTTCTCCGCAGCAGTGAGAATCCCTCCACTGTTTTTCTCTTTTTTTTTTCCTCCTTGATGATGCTGTGCTCTGCGACACTCAAGAGAGAATGAGAGGAGCTTGCGAGTAAAAAAAGACTACTATACCTTTCAAGGAGGGCCCAATGGGACTAAATAGTCAGGATGCCTGTGAGTGATGTGAGTGAGCGGCTCAAAATCGAGTTTTGGCCAGCTCGCACGGAACAGGTACGGTGCTTGTCTTGTTCTCTGTGCACACGAGTCGAGCTCTTCCTCTCTTAGTGTACCTCGAAACCACGACAACTTTTTAAAAAACTTCTCTTTTTTTTGCGCTTGGATCGATCGATCGAGTAGGAGTAGGAGGCTACGTACCTGTTGGATTGATCCTTGATTTGAGTGTCTTGGATCTCCGCTACCTCCACAATTGCCGTGCTTCACGCTGCAAAACATTCAAAGTGAGAAAGAGAGTAAAGAAAATGGAGATAGAACAAGCGAAAGGGAGTGAAAAGCTTTCACTGGCATTTGCCTAACCCAAGAATCGACAGCTTCTCTCGATAGCTTGCCTAAAGAACGAAAGAAAAAAAAAAACAAACAAAGCATGGATGGATGCGATGTATACTCTCTCCACCAAAACAAAGAAAGCTAAGACCTACCTACAAACAAACCGCCTCGAGGAACGAAACAAATGGAACAAAGAATTCTTCCATTTGTCCCACCTGAGAATCGCAATGGGAGCATTCGATCCTCGCTCCAAGGAAGAACTTGCGCTTATTTCGATCCATCATCTGAGAATCACAATGCGGGGATCGATAATCGCTTGCTCCAAGGAAGAAATCGCGCTTACCTCGATCGATCATCCATCGCCCTACAGAATGCGGGCATTCCAGCTCACTCCCTCAAAGGGAAAGAAAAAGAAAGGAGAATTTAGGGTTTACCGGGGATTTTTTAGGGTTAGGTCTTGTGTGTGTGAGCTCTCGGCGATGGCGACGGAGCGCAAGCGCAAGCTGAGCCTCTTCGACGTCGTGGACGAGGGCGCTTTGCACAAGGCCAAGTCGAATGGAGTGTCGCTGCTCAATCCCTACACGCACCGGCCGTTTTCGCAGAGGTACCACGATATTCTCGACAAGAGGAAGACGCTACCGGTGTGGCAGCAGAAGCAAGAGTTTATGGACACAATGGCGAAGAACCAGGTGATGATTCTTGTGGGAGAGACCGGAAGCGGTAAAACAACACAGGTATGGATGATCGATCGCTGTTAGTTCTTGAGCTATAGTTCTTGTGATTGCCACAGATCCCCCAATTCGTGGTGGAGGCTGGATACACTTCCAATCGCAAGCAAATTGCTTGTACACAGCCTCGAAGAGTGGCCGCTATGTCGGTTTCGCGCAGAGTTGCCGAGGAGATGGACGTGACTGTCGGTGAAGAAGTCGGGTATAGTATCCGGTTTGAGGATTGCAGCAGTGCCAAAACCATTCTCAAGTAAGTTCTTCACGGATCTGTGTGTGTTCCGTGGTAAAGTTCCCTTTTTTCCTTTCCAGGTACTTGACCGATGGTATGCTTCTGCGAGAGGCGATGACGGACCCGTTGCTGGAGAGATACAGCGTTATCATTCTCGACGAGGCTCACGAGAGAACTCTTGCGACGGACGTCCTGTTTGGGCTGCTGAAAGAGGTGCTGAAGAACAGGACCGACTTGAAGCTGGTGGTGATGAGTGCTACTTTGGAGGCCGAGAAGTTCCAGGCGTATTTCAACGGTGCTCCACTGATGAAAGTGCCCGGACGGCTGCACCCAGTGGAGATCTTTTACACGCAGGAGCCGGAAAGGGACTACTTAGAGGCGGCCATCCGGACGGTCGTGCAGATCCACACCTGCGAGCCCGCTGGTGATATCCTGGTGTTCCTGACGGGGGAGGAAGAGATAGAAGATGCGTGTAAGAAGATTGCTCGCGACGTGCAGAACTGTGGAGAACAGGCTGGTCCCGTGAAGGTGGTACAGCTTTATTCGTCACTCCCCCCGGCTTTGCAGCAAAAGATCTTCGACTCCGCGCCACCCCCGGCAAGAGAAGGTGGTCCTCCAGGAAGGAAGATCGTCGTGTCCACCAATATTGCCGAGACGTCGCTGACCATCGATGGGATCGTGTACGTGATCGATCCCGGTTTCTCCAAGCAGAAGGTTTTCAATCCCAGGATACGGGTGGAGTCGCTTTTGGTATCGCCCATCTCCAGAGCTAGCGCTCACCAAAGAGCTGGTCGTGCTGGACGTACGCAACCTGGCAAGTGCTTCAGGCTCTACACCGAGAGGAGCTTCAACAACGATCTCCAGCCACAGACATATCCGGAGATCCTGAGATCCAACCTGGCGAACGTGGTCTTGACGCTGAAGAAGCTCGGTATCGACGACCTGGTTCACTTCGACTTCATGGACCCTCCAGCGCCGGAGACGCTGATGCGAGCTCTGGAGCTGCTAAACTACTTGGGCGCTCTCGACGACGATGGGAACATGACACACCTCGGCAAGCTGATGAGCGAGTTCCCGCTGGATCCACAGATGTCGAAGATGCTCGTGGTCAGCCCCGAGTTTAACTGCTCGAACGAGATCCTGTCGATCACTGCGATGCTTTCAGGTAGATCGTCGGTTTCCGCATCTCTACGTCTGCTGACCCCGGGTGCTGCCTTACCTGTGATAACCTTGGCTTGAACTGATTGATCTCCATAGTCCCGAACTGCTTTCTTCGCCCAAGAGACGCGCAGAAGTCCGCCGATGAAGCAAAGGCGAGGTTCGCGCATGTTGATGGGGATCATCTCACTTTGCTCAACGTCTACCACGCCTACAAGCAAAACAGTAAGCGCTCTTTTCCATTGCTTTCCTTGCTTTGTCAACTGGGTTTTCTTTTTCTTTCTTTGTGCAAACAGACGAGGACAGCAACTGGTGCTATGACAATTTCCTCAATGTTAGAGCGTTAAAGTCGGCAGACAACGTCCGGAACCAACTGGTTCGGATCATGAACCGTTACAACCTCAAGCTGTGCAGCACAGATTTCCAAAGCCGGGACTACTACACCAACATCCGGAAGTGTATGCTGGCGGGCTACTTCATGCAAGTGGCGCACCTGGAGCGCAACGGAACTTACTTGACTGTCAAGGACAACCAGGTCTGTGATCGGTTTTTTGCTGCGTCGAAGCTACTTACGCTGCTCTTTCTCTTTAGACGGTGAGCTTGCATCCCTCGTCGTGCCTGGAGCGCAAGCCGGAGTTCGTCATCTACAACGAGTTCGTGCTCACCACAAGGAACTACATCCGGATCAACACCGAGGTCCGGGGTGACTGGTACGTGTCTTTGGTCTGGTTTTGCGAATAGTTTTTCTTCGTTTGACGCTGTGATTCTTCTTGTGTGTGACAGGCTGATCGATATAGCACCACACTACTACGATTTGAGTAACTTTCCACAGTGTGAGGCCAAGTCCGTGTTGAACCGGTTGTACATGAAGCGGGAGAACGAGGCGAAACAGAAAAGGAAATAATTTGTCCGTGGCATTATTCTTTTGTGTTTTAGCTATAAACTTAACCAAAAAGGTGGCAAAGTTATTTGGGTGGATCCCTTTAAAGTTATACGAGCTTAGATACTTTAGTGGAGACAACGTATGAGGAAGTGCGAGAGGGCTTGTAAGCTCACGGCCACTGCTGGGAGCCTCATGATCTTCCGGACCCTTGTCCACAGTGCAAGGTTTATGACTACCACAACAATAGCAAACACGAGCAAGCGTGCTTCGTGTGTAGGGACAAGGCCTGAAAGAAGCTCCAAGTGGACACAAGGTGGCGTGATAAGGGAGTGATCGCCAAAGAGGGGCAAGGATTGCGAGTCATACAGAGTTGTGGGAGTTTGCGGCAAGACAACAGTAGCTGAGGGTCTTCTTGAGAGGGGTGAATCGTCCAATACTTTCATGCAGGGTGATTGTAGGTGGAACTTACAGTCAATCAGCGACCTCAAGAAGTATTTGCCCAAGATGGAGAGATGCAAACCACGTCGGTGGTGACTGTGTGCTAGGGACTGTTTTCAGGCAAGGTGGAAGAGATGTGCAAACCACTTGTTGATGAAATGTGTATGTATTATTCCCCAATGCTCCTTAGGGGCTTAAACAACAGCAAGTGTGCACTCTCAAAGAGACTAGTGAGACTACGAGCAGGGATGCCTGGCGCTGCCTGTGGGCTGTCCACCTCCCAGGTGACTCCACTGTGAAACTGGAAGCCACCTATTACGCTCTGTGACACTCAAAACCACCACGGAGCGCTCCACCACTAACATGCCTTCGGTGCCAAAATGACACCTGATTGCAATGTGACTCCAACTTGTAAATCCATGTGAGGTGTGAACATCCTCCAACTCATAGTCGAAGCATGCTACCTTGCCTCCCACACGAGACAAGTGCACTAGCCCATTTTCAAAAGATTCCTAACCCAAGGGATTAGAGGAATGGCCCAAACCTCCTCCTAGGGAGCCAAATGCTCTAGATCTAGCGTTGGAGAGGAAACATGTGGATCTCCTACACGTGCAGCATCGAATGCAAACCACTTGTTAAGATCTAGCTGGTGATTTTGCATTAGCATTTCCTCAAGAAGTAAAGTGGAGGAGATATGCAAACACTTTCTGGGGACAAGCCCAAGGATGGAAACATGCAGGGCACTTGGTGGGGGCAAGAATATCTTTATTAACGTTGCCAAATTCATGGAAGAACTTCCAGAAATACAAAGCAAGCTAGTTCTATGTACTCTAATTTTCTTCCCACCATTATTAGTTAAAAGTGAAATTAGTTAATCATGCTAATCTTTATTACATTGATATTAACATTAGTAAAATCTAGATGAAGGAGGAGGCGTGTTGTAGCAGTGATGCTTCCAACTCCCTGGAGGGAGATTTTAAAAACAATGCCTTGTTTTTCACTGGTTTGTGTTGGTGTGCTGTGACCAAAAGGTGTAAAATGGCAATCATAATGCGTATTTTATGATGCTAAACTACATGAAAATATAGACCAAACATTAACATAATTTAATATTTTCTAAAAGGATCTAAATATTAAATTAAATTTTTTAGAAGTTAATTAATTTAATTGAAATTAAATTATTAAGATTATAGATATATATTCTATGTTTTAATGTAAATCAGTGAAGATAATTATTCCAAAAGGTATATTATTTTATTAATTTAAAAAATTAATTAACGTTATCTTTTTTATTTTATAAAATAATGTTATCTAGCTAGTAATTTGATTGTAACATTAATAAAAATACTATACCACTCAAATTATATTTTTAATTATAAACAGTGGAATTTGTAAGGTAGGATATGTATATATTGGGACTACATGAGTTTTTTATTAGAGATGTGGTAAATTATAAAAGAGCTTAGAAAAAATATAAAAGAACCAAAGCAAACTAAGTGTTGTTACGTTGCATTTTTTTGTCATCTATAATTTTGTTATTTCTTGTTGTTTCCTTTATTTTGTTGGGTGTATTTTCCATGAGTTCTCTTAATCATTTTGACTCTTCATTATTATAATCAATAATAAAGTGTTCCATCCACTATTATTTTTAAAAAAAATCCTGGATTATATTTATTTATTTAAAATATTTGATTTTCAAATTTAGTTCATGTCTGCAATAATAGCTTAAACTGCATATGAAAGTAATATTCCTATTTTAAACCCTTTTGGATGATTATGGGAAACAATCTTGGCATCCTTTATAGTCTTCTACTTGAGGTGGCTATCCAATCCAACTATATTAAGATTTTCCCTGACCACCTCAGATCCAATTAGAGAAGTGAAACAAACAAGGAGCCAACCCTTAAGTAAATTCCATAGACCATAGAATATTCTTAAATGTAAGGGATTCCAAATGTATAGTAGGGATAGTGGTAGGTCGAATATGGCCAACCAACCTGAGGCATAGTTTAACTCCCACTTGCATGCTTGTCTTTATTTTGCGTTCGACTTAGGTTTAATCCCAAGCTCCACACCATGCTAGCTGGTGGAGTACCTATGTCCTCGTGTTAAGCCATTTGTATGCTAAAATAACATCAAATTCCATTTAACTCCGTTTTGCGTGCTTGTCCTGGCATTGGGATGCTAGATACTCTAGGACTATTTCAAGTCACTCTGTATTCCTGTCCCTTTGCTCCTTGGGCTGTGCACTCTAGAGTCACTTTGTGCTCTTATTCCTTCACTCCTTAGTTCCATACTTGGGAGTTTCACACCATTCTTTTATTCAGTGGCCCAAGGCTTTGAAACTCAAGTTCCGCACCAGTATCCTTTGGACACGTGGCATGTGACACGTGGCACATAGAGGGTTTAGGTTCCGCTTTGTGGTTATCCTATGGTAAATCACCATAAGATAAAAGGTAAAAACCACATGCACTACAATATTGTTATGTAAGAAAATTGTATTGCTTTCTTTCTTTTATAGTTGTTTGTCGCAACGTTAGTATTGCTATTTGCACATCTTTTCTTCATGGTGTATAGACTCCCTTCATATGAGGCTCATGTATCTTCTTGAGGCTGCTATCCATGGCTAGGTCAAGAGGGAGGGGAGAATGACTTAAACCATAGGAATATTCTGGAATGTCCCTAGATTGCGAATTTGGACATGGGATGAACACCATTGTATTTAAGACAATCTCTACATTCCATAAATATGCCAAATAAGCAAATCTAGATACTTTCCATAAATAACATTTAGGACCAAATTGAGACTAACGCAAAAGGTATGATAGTGAAGATGTTTAGCAGACACGGTAAACTATCATTTAACGAATATTAAGGGACCAATCTCAATATCGCAGGGGTTCTTAATACTAGCAAGTGCAAGCCAATGACAAAAGTTTCTCAAACTAGGCTGAGTACAGCAAGAAACACATAGGGTTCCTACCTTATGTTTATCCGATTTAAGTGCACGGTTATTGACCAATTTTTTAACTAGCTCAAGTGGGAACTGATAACGGGTCCAACAATACCAACCTCCTGTCATCATGGCAGTAAGGAAAGAATATCTGAAAGAACTAGCCAACAGGTAACTTTCGATACTCGAAGTCATATTCGCGACAAATATAATTATAGAAATAAGAGAATGAAAGTAGAACAAATGGCTCAAATCATATAGCAATATGGCTATAAAACTTAATTCTCCCCTTCCTCAGTAATGTTATCCAAATCATAACCAAAATATGGAAACACTCACTTCATGTCATTCTCAATTTCCCATGTAGCTTTGTCCATGGAATAACTAATAACTCACTAATTATCTTTTGCCATGTTTTCACTAATTTTTAAGCAAGAATATTAGCTGGACTAGCCTTCTCAACATCAATTTCTAGGACCTAGATGATGGACTAATCCACAATATCACTATAGTGCAAACACGCTTTAAGCTTGCTCAAATGGGATGTTAGATGAATCTTCAAACAAGTTAACAAGTCCAAAGTGTATGCAAGATCCCCCACGCGCTATAAAATTATCTAAAGCCCATAATACCATGGAGACAACTTAGCATTGCCACCTTTTTTTAGAGACTGTTATACATCTGACAGCTTAAGGAAAACCTTATCACCAACTTTGTACTCTTGATGATGATAATGCTTATTAGCTAATCTTTTGTCTCGATTTTGAGCTTGCCTCATATTCAACTTTGCCAACTCAAGCTTGTCTTATATATCCTCTAGGAAATCACAAGTATAAAGTACCCGAACCAAAGCCAAACTCAAATTCATAAGAGACTTATGCTTATAGCCATACATCGCCATAAATGTAGATATACTAATAGTCGATTGATAACTATTATTGTGAGAAAATTGAAGCAAAGACAAATACTTCTCCCATACTCTCTATCTAGTCAAGTTTCCCACAAAATACCTCAACATATCTTCCAACAACTGATTCATGTATTCTGTTTGCCCATTTGATTGTGGATGCTCACCATTACTCACGCTCAACTTAGTCTCTAGTTTCTTAAAGGCCATTTGCCAAAACTTGGATGTGAACTTGGGATCCTGATCATTCATAATATCACCTAGTAAATAATAGAAATTGAATAATTAGTCTATAAATAACTAAACAAGTTCAAAAGCTTTAATAGTCATTTTCACTAGGAAGAAGTGAGCCATCTTCATCAAACAATCCACAACAACCCAAATAGCATTATTTCCTTGAAATGTCTTGGATAAACCAGTGATAAAGTCCATTGAGATGCTATCTTATTTATTCTCAGGTACATGTAAAGGATGATAGAGGTTAGTGAGTTTTTGATAATCAACTTTAACCACCTAGTAAGTCAAACAACTATGTATATACTTCTCAATCTCCTCATCTTCAGCAAGACTAGTACAAGTTAGTTGTTATTGATAAGGGGTAACTTCAGGAACCAAGTCAATCTCATGTTAAATTCCACATTTGGGAGGCAAACTATCAAGCAACTCATTTAGAAATATGAACTCTTCTTGAATGGAATCCACCTGAGCTCTATGCCCACGAACGTACTCTAAATTAGACATGATCATATTATAAAGAAATGGGTACACTATGAAAGAGCTAGTTATGTCATTTGTGACAATGAAAACAATT